AGCAACACCTTTTACATTTACAGTGTTGGAAGTGTGGCTCCAGTGTGGACTTTCTTTCCCTATCCAAGAATCCCTTTCTTGCCCAGGTTTCATTCTGGAGTATGCTTATGTACAGACAAAATCCCAGTTTCCTTGAAACACTGAGAAGGCGGCAAGCTTGTTTTTGCTGCTGCGGAGACTGGGACGCAATGGAGCAATGGATTCAAATGGCAGGAAAAGAGATTCCACCTAAATATTAGGAAAGACTTCCTGATGGTAAAAGCCCTTTGGCAATGGAATATGCTGCCGCTTGAATCAGACGGAGTCTCCTTCTCTGTGGTTCTTAACTAGAGTCTGGATGGCCATCTGTTGGGGGTACTTTGTGTGTTCCTCCAGGGCAGGATGGGGTTGGACTGGATGGCCCTTGAGGTCTCTTCCGACTCTGATTCATCTTATTCATCTGAAGACAACTCTCCACAGACATGGACCTTATTAATTCAAGGTGTGGTGATTATAAACAGAAGGGAAAATATAATGGATATAATAAACATTTTTTGTTTATGTTAAGTGATTTCAGTTCCACTAAATCATGGGTTGAGTTACACTTAAAAATGTACTTGTTCCAACTTACATACAAATTCAACTTAAGAACAAACCTACAGAAGACATATAACAATTGTACATAACTTGGGGGCTGCCTGTACTGACACAAAGCATTGGGAAAATACAGAGCATATTTAGTCCCTTTGACCGCTAGTCAGAATACCTGCAACAGCTTCTGATTGGCTGAAAATTGGCCAATAAGCTAAGATCCAGGTCTACACTGGCTGGGGATTCCCTCTGATGTCATTGCTGATGGGCGGTCTCACCTGCAGCAGGTAGGCTTATCTCATCGAAGGAAGCCCAACACATATGAGAGGATTTATCAATGGTGGAAGAGATTTGTCAATGGGAAGGTGTTTTGGTTCACAGAAATACAATCAGTATTCCATCCATAAGACCCAGGCACCTTCAGGCTTGCATACATTTATTATTATTATTATTATTATTATTATTATTATTATTATTATTATTATTATTAGACAAATATAGCCCGTTTCCTGTCCCAAAGCATGAGATTAAGGCCGTTTTACAGAGCTGGAGTTTTAAGTTAATTTCAAATTATAGGGCTTATACAATATCATAGGAGCCCTCGGTGGTGCCGCAAGTTAAACCGCTGAGCTGCTGAACTTGCTGACCCAAAGGTCACTGGTTCGAATCCAGGGGGCGGCGTGAGCTTCGGCTTTCAGCCCCATCTTCTGGTGAGCTTCGGCTTTCAGCCCCAGCTTCTGCCAACCTAGCAGTTTACAAGTACAAAACTTTATTACGGTCTACTTACTTAGGCGATCCCTCATAATCTGAGGATGATGGTCCTCCAAGTTCGGTGTTCTGGCGGTAGGTGACTGTAGAGCCCTATTCTTGATCTATATGTTCTCCCACAGTGAGGGCATTGGTTTCCAGATGGAAGGCAGTCCTGGTCAGGGTTGGCTTGATGGCCTTCCTCTTGGCACATTTCTCTCTTTCGCCCTCCATTCATGCCTCTTTAAATTCTGCAGCACTGCTGGTCACAGCTGACCTCCAGCTGGAGCGCTCAAGGGCCAGGGCCTCCCAGTTCTCGGTGTCTATGCCAGAGTTCTTAAGGCTGGCTTTGAGCCCATCTTTAAATCTCTTTTCCTGTCCTCCAACATTCCATTTTCTGTTCTTGAGTTTGGAATATTATGGTCACTGACCAGCACAAAGTGGGGCACAAGCACCTTGGGAGGGGAAGGACAACTCCTCAGTGAAGCAGTTATTTAAAAGTAGATTAGAAGACAGTTTAAAATCACATTTTAAAACACAGGATATTGTAACAGGCATGGAACAGAAGAGGGGGAGAGAGTTTGATAGGAGAGGTCAAAAACACTGGGGGGAGGGCACTAAAGGGGAAGGGAGGTTGCAATTCTAGTAGCATTTCACACAGCATATTATTTGAGAACACAGAAAGGCTGGACCACACTCACACTCACCATGTCAGACTACACAGAGAAGCCATTGAAATCCACAAGCATGTGGACAATTTCAACAGAAAGGAGGAAACCATGAAAATGAACAAAATCTGGCTACCAGTATTAAAAAAACTCAAAAATTACAACAGCAAAACAACATGTATAAATATGTGAGAGGAAGCCACAGGGAGGAGGGAGCAAGCTTGTTTTCTGCTTCCCTGGAGACTAGGACGCAAAACAATGGCTTCAAACTACAAGAAGGAGATTCCATCTGAACATGAGGAAGAACTTCCTGACTGTGAGAGCCGTTCAGCAGTGGAACTCTCTGCCCCGGAGTGTGGTGGAGGCTCCTTCTTTGGAAGCTTTTAAACAGAGGCTGGATGGCCATCGGTTAGGGGTGCTTTGAATGCAATATTCTTGCTTCTTGGCAGGGGGTTGGACTGGATGGCCCATGAGGTCTCTTCCAACTCTATGATTCTATGATACGGAGAGTAAACAATCAGGCACATCAAATCACCTCTCAAAGAAAGATTCCCTCAGGCACTTCCAAGCCATTAAATGCTAATCAAGGTGGTCAGCTGAAACATTCACACCTAGCTCCAGCAGACAAAAGTCCTTTGTCCCACCCTGGTCATTCCACAGATATATAAACCCATTTTCCTACTTCCAACAGACCTCACTACCTCTGAGGATGCTTGCCATAGATGCAGGTGAAACGTCAGGAGAAAATGCCTCCAGAACATGGCCATATAGCCCGGAAAACCTACAACAACCCAATCATCATCTGTCTAATTTTAAATGCAGCAGCACAGAACTTAACAACACTGTAAGTTATTGTAGTGTTAGAGTCCGAAAGCAGCAAGGTGGAATAATATTTTTCACTGCGCCCTGGGTATTTTAGAAGCCATGGTCTAATGAGATTAAATCTAAGATATCTGTAGAACATGCATTGAAGAAGCACGTGCTCAGTCATTTCTACATGACCAGACTCATAGGGGCATAGTCTCTGCTTGAAGGGGGTCTTCCAATACTTCCTTACTTAGGCGATCCCTCGTAGTCTGAGGATGATGGTCCTCCAAGTGTAGTATCCTGGCAGTGGGTCCGTAGGTGACTGTGGAGCCCTATTCTTGATCTGCATCTTCTCCTACAGTGAGGGCATTGGTTTCCAAGTGGAAAGCGGTCCTGGTCGGGGTTGGTTGCTGCGCCTTCCTCTTGGCACGTTTCTGTCTTTCGCCCTCCATTCGTGCCTCTTCAAATTCTGCAGCACTGCTGGTCACAGCTGACCTCCAACTGGAGCGCTCAAGGGCCAGGGCTTCCCAGTTCTCAGTGTCCATGCCAGAGATTTTAAGGTTAGCTTTGAGCCCATCTTTCAATCTCTTTTCCTGCCCATCAACATTCCGTTTTCCGTTCTTGACTTCAGAATAGAGCAACTGCTTTGGGAGACTCTTGCTTTCCTCCAGATTTTGGGGAAAATAAAAGATAAAGATATTTTATCTTTATGACACAATATCTTAAAGGTGGATTTCATAAACAAGGGGAAGGTGCAACCCTCCACACTGCTGAATTAATGTAGTTTGACAGCACTTTACCAGCTATGGCCTCCTATAATGGGAGTTATTCTCTGGCATTTAGACTGAAGACACAACAGAAGAAGGAACTCTGGAGTGTTCCTAGCCAGAGGCCCCATGCAGTTCGAAAGTGGATTATATGGTCAGTGTAGATTCATATAATACAGTTCAAAACCTGCATCATATGAGTCTACACCAGGCCTGGGCAAACTTGGGCCCTCCAGGTGTTTTGGACTTCAACTCCCACAATTCCTAACAGCCTATCGGCTGTTAGGAATTGTGGGAGTTGAAGCCAAAACACCTGGAGCGCCCAAGCTTGCCCAGGCCTGGTTTAAACTGAGCACATAAAAAATCCCTATCCAATTCAATCAATCAATCAATTCCGAATCTCTAGGTGCTCTTACTGCCTATTACAGGGGAAACCAGCTGATCCCTAATCCATCTAAAACACAGACATGTGCCTTTCATTTCAAGAACAGAGAAGCATCCCGAGCTCTGAGAATTACCTGGGAAGGAATCCCACTGGAGCATTGCAGCGCACCCAAATACCTGGGAGTCACTCTGGACCGTGCTCTTACCTACAAGAAGCACTGCCTGAACATCAAGCAAAAAGTAGGTGCTAGAAACAATATCATACGAAAGCTGACTGGCACAACCTGGGGATCACAACCAGACACAGTGAAGACATCTGCCCTTGCGCTATGCTACTCTGCTGCTGAGTACATGCCCAGTGTGGAACACATCTCACCACGCTAAAACTGTGGATGTGGCTCTGAATGAGACATGCCGCATTATCACGGGGTGTCTGCGCCCTACACCACTGGAGAAATTACACTGTCTAGCGGTATCGCACCACCTGACATCCGCCGGGAAGTAGCAGCCAATAGTGAAAGGACCAAGGCAGAGACATCTCCAGCTCATCCCTTGTTTGGGTATCAGCCAGCACGTCAACGACTTAAATCAAGACATAGTTTTCTAAGATCTACAGAGACACTCGCTGGAACACCTCAGCAAGTGAGAGTCCAAAAGTGGCAGACTCAAACCCAGAACCTCAATCAATGGCTGATACCAGATGAGAGACTCCCCGCTGGGCTGTTAGGAATTGTGGGAGTTGAAGTCCAAAACACCTGGAGGGCCCAAACTTGCCCAGGCCTGGTTTAAACTGAGCACACAAGTAATCCCTATCCAATTCAATCAATCAATAATCTGAACAGGGCTAATCTTGATTAGGGCCATGGAGGCCCTCCTCCTAATTCCAGGGCAGCCATGGCAACTAAAGCGGATTGCAACGGCTCTAATTGCGTTGCCTAGGAGACCAACAATGTGGCGTTGCCTAGGAGACCAACAACCAGGCCGCCATTGGCGCAGGGCCGCGGGGTGGGCGGGGCAAACAGGGAGGGGGCGTGGCCTTGCCGAAGTTTAAGGAGAGATGGATTTGGATTTGGATCTGGACGACGACGACGACGAGGAGGGGGAGGAGCCAGAGCCGGAAGAGGCGGGGCGATTATTCCGGACGTTACCGCTGACTGGCGCCCATTCGTGCTCCTCATTGGTCCGCTTGGAGCAGGAGGCCAAGCGGCAGAGGCGAGCCGAGCTGCAGCGGGAGAAGGAGCGGGCCGCCGCCATCATGCGCGGTGAGCGATGGCATTTAAAGCGGTATCGAACCGCGTTAGTTCCACAGTGTAGATGGGGCGGGTCCAAGGCACACAAACTGGCTCCCAATCACCAAAATATTTTTAAAATTATGTGTATATAGGTCAAAGAAGGCCTTTATTAGACCAAAAAAGGTTGTTGCTAGGTGAAGTGGCCCTCTGTGGTGTTACTGGGAAATAGGTCTGTCTGGGGGTTTTTTTTGTACCGTAAAGGTTGCGATGTGCGGGGCTGGATGAATGCAAAGCTGGGGTGAAAATGGCTGGAAGAAACATTAACAACCTCAGATATGCAGATGACACCACTCTGATGGCCGAAAGCGAGGAGGAGCTGAGGAGCCTTCTAATCAAGGTGAAAGAAGAAAGCGCAAAAGCCGGGTTGCAGCTAAACATCAAAAAAACCAAGATTATGGCAACAAGAATGATTGACAATTGGAAAATAGAGGGAGAAAATGTGGAGGCCGTGACAGACTTTGTATTTCTAGGTGCAAAGATTACTGCAGATGCAGACTGTGGCCAGGAAATCAGAAGACGCTTACTTCTTGGGAGGAGAGCAATGTCCATTCTCGATAAAATAGTAAAGAGTAGAGACATCAGACTGGCAACAAAGATCCGCCTAGTCAAAGCCATGGTATTCCCTGTAGGACCTACGGATGTGAGAGCTGGACCTTAGGGAAGGCTGAGCGAAGGAAGATCGATGCTTTTGAGCTGTGGTGTTGGAGGAAAGTTCTGAGAGTGCCTTGGACTGCGAGAAGATCCAACCAGTCCATCCTCCAGGAAATAAAGCCCGACTGCTCACTGGAGGGAAGGAGACTAGAGACAAAGTTGAAGTCCTTTGGCCACATCATGAGGAGACAGCAAAGCCTAGAGAAGACAATGATGCTGGGGAAAGTGGAAGGAAAAAGGAAGAGGGGCCGACCAAGGGCAAGATGGATGGATGGCATCCTTGAAGTGACTGGATTGACCTTGAAGGAGCTGGGGGTGGTGACAGCCGACAGGGAGCTCTGGCGTGGGCTGGTCCATGAGGTCACGAAGAGTCGGAGACGACTGAACGAATGAACAACAACAACAAAAGGTTGTTGCTAGGTGAAGTGACCCTCTGAAATGCTGCTTGGAAATAGGTCTGTCTGAACTTTTTTGTACCATAATGGTTGTTGCTAGGTGAAGTGGCCCTCTGGTGTTGCTTTTGCTAGGTGAAGTGGCTCTCTGTGATGCCACTGGGAAATAGGTATGTCCGGTCTTTTTTGTACCATAATGGTTGTTGCTGGGTGAAGTGGCCCTCTGTGATGCTGTTGGGAAATAGGTCTGCCTGGTCTTTTTTGTACCATAACGGTTGTTGCTAGGTGAAGTGGCCCTCTGTGATGCTGCTGGGAAGTAGATCTGTCTGATCTGTTTTGTACCATAAAGGTTGTTACTAGGTGAAGTGGCCACCTGATGTTGCTGTCGCTTGGTGAAGTAGCCCTCTATGATGCCGTTGGGAAATAGGTCTGCCTGGTCTTTTTTGTACCATAAAGGTTGCTATGTGAAGTGGCCCTCTGTGATGCCGCTGGGAAATAGGTCTGTTTGGCCTTTTTTGTACCATAAAGGTTGTTACTAGGTGAAGTGGCCACCTGATGTTGCTGTCGCTTGGTGAAGTAGCCCTCTATGATGCCGTTGGGAAATAGGTCTGCCTGGTCTTTTTTGTACCATAAAGGTTGCTATGTGAAGTGGCCCTCTGTGATGCCGCTGGGAAATAGGTCTGTTTGGCCTTTTTTGTACCATAAAGGTTGTTACTAGGTGGAGTGGCCACCTGATGTTGCTGTCGCTTGGTGAAGTAGCCCTCTATGATGCCGTTGGGAAATAGGTCTGCCTGGTCTTTTTTGTACCATAAAGGTTGCTATGTGAAGTGGCCCTCTGTGATGCCGCTGGGAAATAGGTCTGTTTGGCCTTTTTTGTACCATAAAGGTTGTTACTAGGTGAAGTGGCCACCTGATGTTGCTGTCGCTTGGTGAAGTAGCCCTCTATGATGCCGTTGGGAAATAGGTCTGCCTGGTCTTTTTTGTACCATAACGGTTGTTGCTAGGTGAAGTGGCCCTCTGTGATGCCGCTGGGAAATAGGTCTGTTTGGCCTTTTTTGTACCATAAAGGTTGTTACTAGGTGGAGTGGCCACCTGGTGTTGCTGTCGCTTGGTGAAGTAGCCCTCTATGATGCCGTTGGGAAATAGGTCTGCCTGGTCTTTTTTGTACCATAAAGGTTGCTATGTGAAGTGGCCCTCTGTGATGCCGCTGGGAAATAGGTCTGTTTGGCCTTTTTTGTACCATAAAGGTTGTTACTAGGTGGAGTGGCCACCTGATGTTGCTGTCGCTTGGTGAAGTAGCCCTCTATGATGCCGTTGGGAAATAGGTCTGCCTGGTCTTTTTTGTACCATAAAGGTTGCTATGTGAAGTGGCCCTCTGTGATGCCGCTGGGAAATAGGTCTGTTTGGCCTTTTTTGTACCATAAAGGTTGTTACTAGGTGGAGTGGCCACCTGATGTTGCTGTCGCTTGGTGAAGTAGCCCTCTATGATGCCGTTGGGAAATAGGTCTGCCTGGTCTTTTTTGTACCATAAAGGTTGCTATGTGAAGTGGCCCTCTGTGATGCCGCTGGGAAATAGGTCTGTTTGATCTGTTTTGTACCATAAAGGTTGTTACTAGGTGAAGTGGCCACCTGATGTTGCTGTCGCTTGGTGAAGTAGCCCTCTATGATGCCGCTGGGAAATAGGTCTGCCTGGTCTTTTTTGTACCATAAAGGTTGCTATGTGAAGTGGCCCTCTGTGATGCCGCTGGGAAATAGGTCTGTTTGGCCTTTTTTGTACCATAAAGGTTGTTACTAGGTGGAGTGGACACCTGGTGTTGCTGTCGCTTGGTGAAGTAGCCCTCTATGATGCCGTTGGGAAATAGGTCTGCCTGGTCTTTTTTGTACCATAACGGTTGTTGCTAGGTGAAGTGGCCCTCTGTGATGCCGCTGGGAAATAGGTCTGTTTGGCCTTTTTTGTACCATAAAGGTTGTTACTAGGTGGAGTGGACACCTGGTGTTGCTGTCGCTTGGTGAAGTAGCCCTCTATGATGCCGTTGGGAAATAGGTCTGCCTGGTCTTTTTTGTACCATAACGGTTGTTGCTAGGTGAAGTGGCCCTCTGTGATGCCGCTGGGAAATAGGTCTGTTTGGCCTTTTTTGTACCATAAAGGTTGTTACTAGGTGGAGTGGACACCTGGTGTTGCTGTCGCTTGGTGAAGTAGCCCTCTATGATGCCGTTGGGAAATAGGTCTGCCTGGTCTTTTTTGTACCATAACGGTTGTTGCTAGGTGAAGTGGCCCTCTGTGATGCCGCTGGGAAATAGGTCTGTTTGGCCTTTTTTGTACCATAAAGGTTGTTACTAGGTGGAGTGGCCACCTGGTGTTGCTGTCGCTTGGTGAAGTAGCCCTCTATGATGCCGTTGGGAAATAGGTCTGCCTGGTCTTTTTTGTACCATAAAGGTTGCTATGTGAAGTGGCCCTCTGTGATGCCGCTGGGAAATAGGTCTGTTTGGCCTTTTTTGTACCATAAAGGTTGTTACTAGGTGGAGTGGCCACCTGATGTTGCTGTCGCTTGGTGAAGTAGCCCTCTATGATGCCGTTGGGAAATAGGTCTGCCTGGTCTTTTTTGTACCATAAAGGTTGCTATGTGAAGTGGCCCTCTGTGATGCCGCTGGGAAATAGGTCTGTTTGGCCTTTTTTGTACCATAAAGGTTGTTACTAGGTGGAGTGGCCACCTGATGTTGCTGTCGCTTGGTGAAGTAGCCCTCTATGATGCCGTTGGGAAATAGGTCTGCCTGGTCTTTTTTGTACCATAAAGGTTGCTATGTGAAGTGGCCCTCTGTGATGCCGCTGGGAAATAGGTCTGTTTGGCCTTTTTTGTACCATAAAGGTTGTTACTAGGTGGAGTGGACACCTGGTGTTGCTGTCGCTTGGTGAAGTAGCCCTCTATGATGCCGTTGGGAAATAGGTCTGCCTGGTCTTTTTTGTACCATAACGGTTGTTGCTAGGTGAAGTGGCCCTCTGTGATGCCGCTGGGAAATAGGTCTGTTTGGCCTTTTTTGTACCATAAAGGTTGTTACTAGGTGGAGTGGCCACCTGGTGTTGCTGTCGCTTGGTGAAGTAGCCCTCTATGATGCCGTTGGGAAATAGGTCTGCCTGGTCTTTTTTGTACCATAAAGGTTGCTATGTGAAGTGGCCCTCTGTGATGCCGCTGGGAAATAGGTCTGTTTGGCCTTTTTTGTACCATAAAGGTTGTTACTAGGTGGAGTGGCCACCTGATGTTGCTGTCGCTTGGTGAAGTAGCCCTCTATGATGCCGTTGGGAAATAGGTCTGCCTGGTCTTTTTTGTACCATAAAGGTTGCTATGTGAAGTGGCCCTCTGTGATGCCGCTGGGAAATAGGTCTGTTTGGCCTTTTTTGTACCATAAAGGTTGTTACTAGGTGGAGTGGCCACCTGATGTTGCTGTCGCTTGGTGAAGTAGCCCTCTATGATGCCGTTGGGAAATAGGTCTGCCTGGTCTTTTTTGTACCATAAAGGTTGCTATGTGAAGTGGCCCTCTGTGATGCCGCTGGGAAATAGGTCTGTTTGGCCTTTTTTGTACCATAAAGGTTGTTACTAGGTGGAGTGGACACCTGGTGTTGCTGTCGCTAGGTGGAGTGGCCCTTTATGATGCTGCTGGGAAATGGGTCTGTCTGGTTTTTTGTACCATAAAGGTTGCTATGTGAAGTGGCCCTCTGTGATGCCGCTGGGAAATAGGTCTGTTTGGCCTTTTTTGTACCATAAAGGTTGTTACTAGGTGAAGTGGCCACCTGATGTTGCTGTCGCTTGGTGAAGTAGCCCTCTATGATGCCGTTGGGAAATAGGTCTGCCTGGTCTTTTTTGTACCATAAAGGTTGCTATGTGAAGTGGCCCTCTGTGATGCCGCTGGGAAATAGGTCTGTTTGGCCTTTTTTGTACCATAAAGGTTGTTACTAGGTGGAGTGGACACCTGGTGTTGCTGTCGCTAGGTGGAGTGGCCCTTTATGATGCTGCTGGGAAATGGGTCTGTCTGGTTTTTTGTACCATAACGGTTGTTGCTAGGTGGAGTGGCCCATTGTGGGAAATAGGTCTGTCTGGTCTTTTGTGTACCATAACGGTTGTTGCTAGGTGGAGTGGCCCTCAGTGATGCCACTGGGAAATAGGTCTGTCTGGCCTTTTTTGTACCATAATGGCTGTTGCTATGTGAAGTGGCCCTCTATGATGCCGCTGGGAAATAGGTCTATTCGGCCTTTTTGTACCATAAAGGTTGTTACTAGGTGGAGTGGACACCTGGTGTTGCTGTCGCTAGGTGGAGTGGCCCTTTATGATGCTGCTGGGAAATGGGTCTGTCTGGGGTTTTTTTGTACCATAACGGTTGATGCTAGGTGAAGTGGCCCATTGTGGGAAATAGGTTTGTCTGGTCTTTTGTGTACCATAACAGTTGTTGCTAGGTGGAGTGGCCCTCAGTGATGCTGCTGGGAAATAGGTCTGTCTGGCCTTTTTTGTACCAGAATGGTTGTTGCTAGGTGAAGTGGCCCTCTGTGATGCTACTGGGAAGTAGATCTGTCTGGTCTGTTTTGTACCATAATGGTTGTTGCTAGGTGAAGTGGCCCTCTGTGATGCTGCTGGGAAATAGGTCTGTGAGATCTGTTTTGCACCATAACGGTTGTTGCTGGGTGAAGTGTCCCTCTATGATGTTGCTGGGCTGTCAATAATATTAATAATACATTAATACATACAGGAAGTATTTATATTGTTGCCTTAGACATTGTGAGATGAAGCAGACTAATCACCAGTTAAATAATTTGCTTGCTTGCTTGCTTTCGTGCCTTTTTCCTATCAATGTGCAGGAAAGCAAAGTGTCGATGAGGTGCTGGACCTGGCAGAGTACACCAAGAGGCGGCCTTGGTGGCGAAAACTCTTCAAGCCAAACTCGGGGTCCAGCGCGGAAAAATACAGCGTGGCCACCCAGCTGGCCATTGGAGGAGCCACAGGATGGTGAGGCGCTTTGCTTGGAGTTGGCTTTGTGTGCATTTCTAGGAAGGAGGGAGGAAGAGTATGCTTTTCACTCTGTACCACCTTTGGGCAAACTTTGGCCCTCTGGGTGTTTTGGACTTCAACTCCCACAATTCCTAACAGCCGGTAGGCTGTTAGGAATTGTGGGAGTTGAAGTCCAAAACACCCAGAGGGCCAAAGTTTGCCCATACCTGCTATATATATACTCAATATTCTTACTTTTCTGTACTTATATGCCATTTCCCTACGTTTCAATTTGCAGGTGCACTGGCTTCATTTTCCAGAAGGTTGGGAAGCTGGCCGCGACTGCCGTGGGAGGAGGCTTCTTTCTGCTCCAGGTTGGTAACTATTGGTCCGAAGAGTATTTTGAGACTTCCAAAATACGGCTGCTAACATTTCCTTTTGAGGCTATCGAGAATACTCCAAGCAGTCAGCATGTATGGGTGGATTCTAGTAGTCCAAAAGGGTGTTGTTTCTAACCTGTGTTTTTTTTCACATGAGTGGGCCATTTAGGTCATTATCTGCATTCCAGACTTGCATAGCCAATTCAGATTGAACACACAATGTGTTTTCCATACTTTGCAGTGCTGCATTGTGTTCACACTTTGATGCATGTTATTGGGAGCAAATAGAGAACCATTGGGATCCTCTGTTTTGGTAGATCAGGACCAGGGAACCTAGGGTGAAGTAGTCCTTTGTGAATTGGCCTATCCAAGCCATTTTAAAGCATGGACATTAAACTCTTGTCTTGTGTTTAATCTCTGTTATGTGTATTTTAATATGAATTTTTCTAGAAATGTGTATATTTACATATATTTTTCAATGTTTATGTGTTTTAATTGTGCTGTAACCTGCCTTCAGCCATCAGGAGAGGTGGGAAAGAAATTATTATTATTATTATTATTATTATTATTATTATTATTATTATTGTGGCCCTACAGATGCTGTTAGACTCAAGCTCTGGGCAAATATGTCCAGTTTTCCTGCTATCCCCATTACTTACTTAGGCGATCCCTCGTAGTCCAAGGATGATGGTCCTCCAAGTTCGGTGTTCTGGCGGTGGGCCCGTAGGTGACTGTGGAGCCCTCTTCTTGATCTGCATCTTCTCCTGCAGTGAGGGCATTGGTTTCCAGGTGGAAGGCAGTCCTGGTCGGGGTTGGCTTGATGCGCCTTCCTCTTGGCACGTTTCTCTCTTTCGTCCTTCATTTGTGCCTCTTCAAATACTGCAGCACTGCTGGTCACAGCCTACCTCCAACTGGAGTGCTCAGGGGCCAAGGCTTCCCCATTCTCAGTGTCTATGCCAGAGTTTTTAAGGTTGGCTTTGAGCCCATCTTTCAATCTCTTTTCCTGTCCACCAACATTCCGTTTTCCGTTCTTGAGTTCGGAGTAGAGCAACTGCTTTGGGAGACGGTGGTCAGGCATCCGGACAACGTGGCCGGGCCAGCAGAGTTTATGGCGGAGGACCATCACTTCAATGCTGGTGATCTTTGCTTCTTCCAGCACGCTGACATTTGCTTGCCTGTCTTCCCAAGAGATTTGCAGGATTTTTCGGAGGCAGCGTTGATGGAATCGTTCCTGGAGTTGCATGTGACGCCTGTAGACAGTCCACATCTCACAGGCGTATAGCAGGGTTGGGAGGACAATAGCTTTTTAAACAAGCTCCTTAATATCCCTACACATGCCCAGTCCTCAAATACTCTCTGCTTCATTTGGGAAAATGCTGCACTTGCAGAGCTCAGGTGGTGTCCCCATTAAAGTAGGCTACTGAAATCTAGGCCCAGGTTACTCATCTTCCCTTGACTCCATGGAGCATTGGTGACAAACTTGTGGCCCTCCAGGTGTTTTGAACTTCAGCTCCCAGAATTCCTTACTATTGGACAAACTGGCTGTAGGGACTTCTGGGAATTGGAGGACCAAACATCTGGAGGGCCATGTGTTTGACACATCTGCCATAGAGAATGGTGTGTTCACTCCCATTTTCTACAATCCAATACATCTGAAGGATAGATTGAGCTAGGCCAGTGGTTCCAAATCTTTGGTCCTCCAGTTGTTTTGGACTTCAACTCCCTGACATCCCAGCCATCTTATCAGTTGTTAGGAATTGTGGGAACTGAAGTCCAAAACACCTGGAGGGCCAAAGGTTAGGAACCACTGAGCTAGGCAGAAGGAAAACTTTAAGTAGATTGCAGGGAATGCATTTCAGATCTAATTTGTTTGTTTGTTTGTTTACTGTTTTTATACCCTGCTCTTCTCAACCCTGAAGAGGACTCAGAGCAGCTTACAGATTATGGCAACATTCAATGCCTCATCATACAACAAATAATAAATATAACATATCAAATTATAAAACAATTAAAACATATAAATGCAATAAAACATATTAAAAATAGTTTTAACAAGCAGATGTTCCATCAGATGCCAAACAGGGGTGGCATCAACAGACCAAGTGGGAGGAACAACTCATCCAAAACAGAGTTCCATCCATTGTGGAAAAATGCATATGTAAAATGCCAACATTCCTTTCATTGCAGTTCCCTACATTAAAAGCCACTTGAAGGATTACTCTCTTGGGACCACAGTGATGTCGGTGGAGGGTGAATGGGAGCAAGTCTTCCAGAAAGACCTGGGTTTAGGTAGATACATGCTTCAGAGCGTCTTCCCCTTTTCCAGGTTGCCAATCACACAGGATACATCAAAGTCGACTGGCAAATGGTCGAGCGGGACGTGAACAAAGCGAAGGAGCAATTGAAGTTCCGCAGCAGCCCTAACAATGAGCTACCGCCAGAGGTGAAGACCCGAGTGGACGAGGTGAGTTCTTTCAACAGGCCACTCAGAGGTGGGCTGCAAAGCTTTGGAGAGAAGAGAGTGGCTGGCAATTGCTGGGCATCACAGGGGAGAAGAGATACAGGACTGAGAAAGAGACTTGGAGTGAAGAGCTTGAAAAGGATAGATTTTGCATGGCAGTTTCTAAAGTCTTCTAGCCAGGACAAGGCACGGGCAGTTAAAACTTGGCATTATACTAAATGCCCTTTGACCAGTAGCTGGCCACTTGGAGTGCCTCTGGTGTCACTGTGAGAAGATCCTCCATTGTGCATGTGGCAGGGCTCAGACCTCATTGTAGTAAGTGGTCTGTGGTTTGCTGTTCTCCACACTCACATGTTGTGGACTCCACTTTGTAGCCCCATTTCTTAAAATTGGCTCTGCATCTCATGGTGCCAGAGCAGAGCCTGTTCAGCACCTTCCAACTCGCCCAGTCTTCTCTGTGCCCAGGAGGGAGTTTCTCATTTGATATCTGCCATGGATTGAGGTTCCGGGCTTTAGCCTGCCACTTTTGGACTCTTGCTTGCTGAGGTTTTCCTGATAATGTTGTTAAGAGGTCTGTAATGATGGTGTAGAATAGGCCTCCAGATTGTGGAGACAGCTACCATTTCTTCCACTTGGTGAGTGACAAATTGTGGACAATGGATTGAGAATTGACGTTAGGTTTTTTGGATTGTGTTTGTAAAGGTTCTAAACTAAATTGGTACTTTATAAAGCAAGAAACCAAGAACCCCTGGTTGCGCAGTGAGTTAAACTGCTGAGCTGCTAAACTTGTTGACCGAAAGGTCACAGGTTTGAATCTGGGGAGTGGTGTGAGCTTCCGCTGTCAGCCCCAGCTTCTGCCAGCCTGCAATTCGAAAACTTGCAAATGTGAGATCAATAGGTACTGCTCCAGCGGGAAAGCAACGGCGCTCCATGCAGTCATGCTGGCCACATGACCTTGGAGGTGTCTGCGAACAACGCTGGCTCTTCGGCATAGAAATGGAGATGAGCACCAACCCCCAAAGTCAGGCATGACTAAACTTAATGTCAAGGGGAAACCTTTACCTTCACTTAGAAAAATCAAGGTTTGCTTTTTGGAGGTTTTTTGGGGGGTGGGTTTTAGCATAGTAGGATCCAGTAAAGGATTACCTCAGTCAGTTGAAAATAGAGTTGATATGCTAAATAGAATCAATCATAAAGACAAAGAACACGGAGGCGAAATAAACTAACTACTAGATAACACTATCTTAAGAAAGACTGAAGGACCATCGGAAAGAAGAAAGTCAACAATCTTTTTTGGGCGGCGGGTTTTTTTTCTTTCTTTTCTTCTTCTTTTTCTCTTTTTCTTCCTACTTTACTATACATATTGTTCCCCCACTTTCAATGTTAAAATAACCCCCTTTTTTCCTTCCTTATTATAATTAGTTTTTAATACATTTTTTCTATTTTCTCTCTTCTTTTTATATTTTTATATACACACACATATATCTTTCCTTCTATTTTTTCTTTAGTCTTTTTTTTATATTTCCTACTTTACTATATATGATATTATTCTCCCACTTTCAATGTTACAATATCCTTTTTCCTTCCTTATTATTATTAGTTTTATATATATATATTTCTATTTTTCTCTTCTTTTTTATATTTTTACACACACACACACACACATATATCTTTCCTTCTATTTTTTCTTTATTCTTTTTATTTACATTTCCTACTTTACTATATATGATATTGTTCTCCCACTTTCAATGTTACAATATCTATTTTATTTTTCATTTTTTTAAAACAAAACCCTAATAAAATAGATATTTTAAAAAAGAAATGGAGATGAGCACCCCAATCCCCAGAGTCAGACACAACTGGACTTGCTTTACCTAAAGCAAGAAACATCATTAAAAACAAACAAACCTTGGTACTCGTATATCTTTATAATCCTTAGTCTCTTTTTCTGCCAGACATCAGTCTCAGGGCATTTTGGATTGCCAGCATTTTGTGGGATGTGCTAGCTGGGCTACATAGTTCACCTGAAGAGCTGTAGGATTCCCCTTTCTATGAGCTTTAGAGATTTTATTGGGTCAGTACGCTCTTGCTGAACATCTGAGCACTCGTTTAGTTGAACCTGGTCCAGTGTATCAAGAAAAGAGAGATACTTGTGCCTTCTTCTTTTACCTCCTCCTAACTAGATACTGAGCCATTCAAATGCTGTCATGTTTTAGAAGTTGAAGCAGCAAGGAGCCCTAGTTTGACCAATGCAAGTCTCTCCTTTCTCTTCTACCCAGGTGATCCGCTTTTTGAAGAAAAATGTTATCCTGACTGGAGGGTTCGTTGGAGGGTTTCTGCTTGGCTTGGCGTCTTAGGAGCTGACCAGATCAGACTGCTCTGCCGTTCCCTGTACAGCTGCCATCTCCTCTCTGGATTCTGACTCCATTGGCAGACTTGTCTGCAGGAACATTCTCCCTCTTGGATTGTCTTTCTCTTTGTACATGCATCATTGCTGCCAAAAAATATTGTCCTTGGGGGAGTTTCCCCATTTTAATTTATTGGAGGAAGGATTAGATGGAAAAGCTAGCTGCTACACTAGATACTATCGATATCTTTTAGGTCTTTCAGAATGACCTATTCAAAATATTGCGGCTATCACTATAATAAGCGCTCCCTTGTCTTTATATGCACTTTCTTGTTGTGTTTATTTTCTTTCAAGCCCATCCTGGGAGGACAAGGGGGCATCCAGTATTTAGTATTTGCCTGGTTCTTTCTTGAACAGGTTCTGTATACTGCTTGGCAAAGCCAGAGCTGGAAACACAGATCTTCTTGGCATTGCACAAGCTGTTATTTATACCTCTGGCTGAATCCATAGAGCTGGAATGACCTGTGGAAATTCTGACTGCTCCGCTTTATTTTCTGCTGTCCTCTGCAGCTGAAGGAGGACTGGCAAGCGGCAAGATCCTCCTTCTCTAGAAAGTATTATTTAGAGTGCTCAACAGTCACAACCTTGGATGGAGTAGACATTCAAAATGAACTATGCGCACGGTGGTGGAGAGGATAGAAGATGACTTGCTACAATTGGGAGGCTTTTTAGATACCAATGGTCTTTGCCATTGTGAAATGGGGAGGGAATTGCATATTTTCTGCCACTTCCTTTTATTTGGTACTCTAGCTCCATGAAATGGTTTGAATACCAGATCGAGAGAAGTTGCTTTATCACTGCAGGAGTTTTGTGTTGGGCAGATGGCTAAAGTTTGCATTTCTCCCAATGCCATTCCACCAGCATAACATTGCTTTTTCCACTCATTGCAGGAGAAGGTATTAAGTACCTAACTGCATGCACACATACCCCACAGCAAATACTCATAGCTAGTTAATAGCTGGGGGTAGTAGGGAGCTGCCCAAGCAATATCAGTCTGGGGTTCTATAGATGGGAGAAAGCAGATGCATAATGTGTATTTTTTTTTTCTTGCAATTCCTGCTCCAATATCCCAAGAACTAGGGCAGACATTATCCCAAGAACTAGGGTTTTTAAGGAGTGCACTGTGTAAGCTTCTACTGCCAAGTTTTCGTGAACTAGAGGCTCTTTAATCATGTATTAAGAAGTTGTCGTTCAGGAAGGTTTGTGCCACAATAAACCTCTTCCTTTATCAGGTGTTACAGGATGGTTGTATGTTTATTCTTGCCGAACTTGCCAAGGCTTTGGAAGAGCATGTGTTTTCAAGAGAAAATGTTAATACCTTAGTTTCCTAGGGATTTTCAATCTTTTGAAAAGTCACATTTCATCCTCAAGAAAACTGTGGGCCACCTGAGCTTCCGTAAAGAAATTCCTTCATTTATAGCAGGGGCCCTCAAACTTTTTAAACAGAGGGCCAAGTCACAGTACCTCAAACTGTTGGAGGGCCGGATTATAATTTGAAAAAGAAAAAAAAAACCATGAATGAATTCCTATGCCCACTGCACATATCTTATCTGTAGTGCAAAAAAAAAAACCACTTTAAAACAATACAATAATTAAAATGAAGAATTATAACAAATATAAACTTATTAGTAATTCAATGGGAAGTGTGGGCCTGCTTTTGGCTGATGAGATAGGATTGTTGTTCTTGTGTGCTTTCAAGTCATTTCAGATCTAGGTTGACCCTGAACGAGGCCGGATAAATGACTTTGGGGGGCAGTATTCGGCCCCTGGGCCTTAGTTTGAGGACCCCTGATTTATAGCCTATATACTTTCCGGCTTTTGCTCCATTCCCTGCTGTTTTACCCATACTTTTCAATAAACATAGTGAGCAAGTGGCTTTCAGGTGCTCCACTTTGGTAACCAGAGGAATGAGGAAAACAAATTCAATCTAACTACCAATATCCTTCCCTAATTTGATGCTATCAAGATCTTCCCCAACCAGAAAGCCCATTGGCACAAGGGGAATGTTTTCGTTCTCATGTTACATTCTTCCTTCCTGAAATCACAACATACCTGCATGTATCATGCAGCTACATCTCTCACACATTCAGTGGCATGCTGTCTTTTCTTTTCCACTGCTATTGCTCTCCACATTAACCAAAAAGGTAAAAAGAAAACATAGGTTTGATTCCATTATTGAGAATGGATACATTCAGCTGCTGAACTTGCTGACCGAGATGTCAGCGATTCGAATCCAGGGAGCAGAAACTGTTAGCCCCAGTTTCTGCCCACCTAGCAATTGAAAACATGCAAATGTAGATCAATAAGTACCACCTTGGCGGGAAGGTAATGGTGGTCCATGCAGTCATGCTGGCCACATGACCTTGGAGGCGTCTTTGCACAACACCAGCTCTTTGGCTTAGAAATGGAGATGAACACAAACTCACAAAATCGGACACGACTGAACTTAATGTCAGGGGGAAATCTTTACCTAGTGTTCTCCAACTTAGACCTAAAACTGGAATAAGAGAAATCCCTTGGTCTCATTGCAGGATTCCTTGAAATATGTGCTACGTCTTTTGGGCATACAGGAGTTTTTGTTACAACTACCAAGGTTAAATCTGCTTTTTGTATTCTTATCAGTGGCTAACATGATCTGGAATATGAGACTTGGACCATGCATGGTGAGGGGAACGGTTGCTTCATGTGGTCCTCCCTATTGGCTTGGGTTAGCTTTGGATAACTGTCATTGCTGTTTTAGCTGAGAGCCTTTTGAGTGGATTGAATGATGGGCCTTCCATGTGCATAGCAGGTGCGCTACCACAGAGCCGTGTAATCCTCTTCAAGTGATGCAAGCAATCCCTTTAATCTTCAGAGAGATGGGATGCGTGATCCCTTGCACCTAAAAGATGTTGACAACATGATAGGACTTTCACAATTCAAGGTTGGGTGTCGAAGAATCAAAGCTGGCAGGATCTGGGTTGTCTATACACTTTTTGTATAGTTTGGGGTATTAAAATGCCTCGAATGTTAATGGTGTTGCTGTCAAATAAAGAAAATGGGAAATGCCCCATTCCCCCCCCCCCCCAGTCCATCCAATAATTGGGTGTTGTCAGTTCTTTTGTGCAGTTCTTGCTAGAACTACTTCAATTATGGTTTCTAGGCCTTAATAGCTACCTAGCAAGGGCAAACTTGGGCCCTCCAGGTGTTTTGGACTTCAACTCCCACAATTCCTAACAGCCTACCGGCTGTTAGGAATTGTGGGAGTTGAAGTCCAAAACACCTGGAGGGCCCAAGTTTGCCCATGCCTGATCTAGCAGCTGACCCATCTTAAAAGTCCCCTAGTCCCACTCTGGTATATCCAAAGAACTGCTGGTCTAAGTTCAGTCATGTTTCACAAGACACTTCCTGGTCAAAAAAGGAGCACAGTGTCTTCAGTGAAGGGACAATTTCACATCATTGTGCTTGGGGTGCAAAAATGTGTTCAAACCCAGCTGCACTTAGAGAAACTCTAAGTTTTTACAGTGTTTTTATATGGTATTTAAATGTTTGCGTGGAGTGAGAATTCAAAATAAACCATTTTTGCTGAGCTTCCTCTGTGTGCTGTTTTGTTTATTCTTAACATTGCAAATATTGTTTACTCGCGACATTGCAAGATACTCCACTTGGGCAGAAAAAAATGAAATGCAAAGATACAGAATGGGGGACGCCTGGCTCAAGAGCAGTACGTGTGAAAAAGATCTTGGAGTCCTCATGGACAGCAAGTTAAACATGAGCCAACAATGTCATGTGGCGGCAAAAAAAGCCAGTGGGATTTTGGCCTGCATCAAAAGAGCATAGTGTCTAGATTTATGGAAGTAATGCTACCCCTCTAATCCGCCTTGGTTAGATCACACCTGGACTATTGTGTCCAATTCTGGCCAACACAATTCAAGAGAGATATAGACAAGCTGGAATGTGTCCAGAAGAGGGCTACTAAAATGACCAAGGGTCTGGAGAACAAGCCCTATGAGGAGCGGCTTAAAGAGCTGGGCATATTTAGCCTGTAGATGAGAAGGCTAAGAGGAGATGTGATAGCCATGTATAAATATGTGAGAGGAAGTCATAGGGAGGAGGGAGCAAGCTTGTTTTCTGCTTCCCTGGAGACTAGTACACGGAACAATGGCTTCAAACTACAAGAAAGGAGATTCCATCTGAACATGAGGAAGAACTTCCTGACTGTGAGAGCCGTTCAGCAGTAGCACTCTCTGCCCCGGAGTGTGGTGGAGGCTCCTTCTTTGTAGATTTTTAAACAGAGGCTGGATGGCTATCTGTCAGGGGTGCTTTGAATGCAATATCCCTGCTTCTTGGCAGAATGGGGTTGGACTGGATGGCCCATGAGGTCTCTTCCAACTCTAGGATTCTATGAAATAAAAACTAAAAGCAGGCATAATTTCCGAGCGGTGGGCAAAGCTGGCCATTTGTTTCACCAACATTGCAGATAGGGTGGCTGCGGAATGAGCCATATTTAAGAGAAGAGAAGGTAGAGAATAAAAATGATTGTGATCTTCAGTGCCTTAAAAAAAATCTAAAAACTACTGAGTCCTGTGTTCTTTATTTTTAATTTTTTGCAGCATGGAATTTTAAAACATTCAGCACACACTTATTCCACTGGCTTTGGTGATGCCTGCCGACAAATGCACACAACATTGCACTGGATTCGAAATTATTCAACAATGATGAGGTACTAGATTGATACAAGGGTACTAAAATAGGCTCAACATCTCCTGGGTTGTGTTCAGAAGGGTCTAAACTGGGTGAGGAAAGTGATGCTACAACCGCACTCCAATTCCATTCATTGGAATGGCACTTGGCTCACATAAGTTGCAGAGTGGAAGGTTTTTTCAAAAATACCTTTCACCACTCCGACTCCATAAAGTGACTATTGCTTTACAAAGGCGAGGGAGAGCTCCACACCACAACTATAATTATCCCTGAAATTGCAACAGCATTCACATAAATCAGTATTGTGCAATTGGAGATCAGTGCTACTAAATCTACAATCCAAAAGATCGACCGGAGAGTCCAAAGGTTAGATGGGTCGCAGACGAGGAAACTGAGGCACACAGGTAACCTAACTATTGCTGAGCAGAAAGGAGAAGGCAGCTTCCGTTGCCAACGTTATCTGCACAGCAAGAAGGCAGGAGGAGGAGGGCAGCTTCTGAGCAGCCTGGGAAATCCTCATTTACTGGAAATAAAGGTTCTGCAGCTTCACAACACTAATTCACATATTATGCCCAACAACAAGATTGTCTAAACTTGAACGAACAGCAAAAAGGGCTGCTTGGATTCCACCTGGCAGTGGAATATTGCTACTCGTGACAACAGATTTCAATGACACTGAACATTAACACACCAAATTCTTCAACTCCAATCTAATCCACAATAAGGCTAGAGCAGGACTACATTTTGATGGTAGAACTGCCGAACAGCTCTAATCTTAACAGACACTTGTTGCTTTCTTGCCGTGAACGTCTGAAAGAAGAGCTGGCTTGCGTTCTGGGACGTGCTCCAACGCAAGCGGGATGGATGAGGTATTGTGCAGCTACATAGTTTGCAGGAAAGGCCTGTGCTCCCCAGCAGTCCGTGTCTCCTCAGGATCGTGGGGTGGGAAATCCCTTGGGAGCCAGTCCTGACTTCTGTTTCTCTTTTTCCTCCGACTCAAACCCTGAACAAGAGATAGATCTGCCCTTTGGATACCGGACACAACATTTTCTCATCTCCTGGATGGCAGCTTCACATTTAGATTCCACATAGTTGTTTGCTGGGAGGAAGAAAAAAACAACAATTTGCAAGCCTAGTATATGATCACTCCTCATTGAAGGTCACATTTTAAGAATATTGCACTTACTAATGCTCTTTTCTACCCTCCCCCCCCCACCTTGTGTTTCATACCTATATTAAAAAGGTGAGGCTTAGCTATGTAAATACCCACCCCATGATAGAAATGAATCTTGAGATTCATATTATTAAGCTTAGAGGACTGCAAAGACCAGTTGGATTTTCTATACCTTACTGGAAATTTTACAATATTATTTGGCAAATTTGTGGTATAACATTTCTGCTGACATGTCTGGGCCGGGTTTTAGCACAGCAGGTTAACCACCAGCTGCAGTAAATCTTGCCAACCAGAAGGTTGACAGTTCAAAGCCCAAGTCAGGGTGAGCTTCCGGCCTTTAGCCCAGCTTCTGCCTACCTCGCAGTTTCGAAAAAAGCAATGTGAGTAGATAAATAGGTACTGCTTCAAGCAGGGAGGTATTTAAGGCACCCACAAGGAAATGTCAAAAAAATGCCGGAGATTCAATCAAGGAGATAGTTTATGAATAAAGCTCTTCGACTGAGAGACTGAGTGACAGCACCCCCTCCTCAACCCCCACCCCCCTGTGGCTGGAACCGAGCAAAACCTCCAAGATGCAGAAGATGGGAAAGTCTATATATACCTCTATTTATGTACAATTATCTGTCTTGTCAGTGTATGACGGCATTGAATGTTTGCCGCATATGTGTTCTGTGATCTGCTCTGAGTCCCCTTCAGGGTGAAAAGGGCAGAATATAAATATTGTAAATCCTTGGAAGAATCAATATAAAACAGTCATGTAATACTTATTAGTACTGGTAATTAATATGTTGCTTTGAGTTTCTAAATAACCGTTCTTTACAGTGGATTGAAAACAACTAAACACACAATTAATTGGAGTTGGAGAGAGCTGGATTAAAAGAACAGGAAACTCAATCCCTGCTGTTCATTACAGCAGATTACGGCTGTAAGTGGATTAGGCTAAAAACTGCACTCCTTTGCCTGTACTGATGAGAGCAGGTTAAAGCTTTCCCTTCTCCATAAGTCTTGCTCAACCACCATGTGAGGCTGGCATATTTGAACCCTATCGAATTATAAATCCGATTGAGTGGTGATCTTGTGCCACATGCTCTTAGTCTTGCCTGTCTTGCATAGCTATAGACATAAAGACAAAGTAAGAAAGAAAACAGCCATGCATTCTGCATTGAAGGAAAGACAGGATATAAACTAACTAACCATATACAATATTAACATTAGTATTGCTGCTTCAGGATTTTGAAAAACAACACATCAAGTTATTGAATCGAAAGAGAAAATATTAAAAATAGCTCTATGAGGTTGTTTCCCCCCCCCCCCCCTATTTCAGGCAGGGAGACAATCTGGTTCTTCCATTAAATTTTCTGCAAAAGCAAGAGGCATCTAGCAGGACTCTCTCCTGATTCAAATAAAAATATTAGTTTCAACCTAGCAATTGAACCAGAATGGAAACAATCTTTTCAAGAGCTTCAAGCACTAATTCTCTGCAGACTTTAGAGCAGTGAAATGGTTGCTGTAAATGTCTACAGCCTGTTGCAAATTAAAAATGACAACAACAAAAATGGTTTCCCCCACTAACTCAAAGTGAATACCAAGTTCCCAGGCCTTCTGTACATAAGGTAGCTTGCAGTTTTAAACTTGGAGCAGTCCTCAGATGTAATTTGTTCCTGTTTGTTCCCAATGCTACACAGGCCTGTTTATAATAGAATCAAAAAAGAGCCAAGGGATGTGGCCTACCTTGCAAACATTTCTGGATTTCACAGGCATATTTCTGACAGGGATCCTTCTGAGCCATGGCCGGGGAGCTAAAAGAAGAGGAAAACATTGCACTGGTAAGAAGTGTAAAAACTGACAAGGAAGTTAGTAACATACAGTCTAAATCGAAATGGGAAAGCTTTCTCTCTCCAGATAGTTTGAACTATAATTCCCATGCTGCATGGAACTAATGGAAATTTTAGACCAAAGATTTCCACCCTTGGTCTAAATCAGTGGTTCCCAAGCTGTGGTTCGTGGACCACCAGTGGTCCGCAAGCACTAAAATATGGTCTGTGGCCTCACCATTGCTACAAAAGCAACTGGTCTCGCAAAACCCTCTTACAGTGCCGAGGCTTAATAATAATAATAATAATAATAATAATAATAATACTTTATTTATACCCCGCCACCATCTCCCCAAGGGGACTCGGGATGGCTTACATGAGGCCAAGCCCATCAATACAATATACACAATATAACATAAAAACACAACAGAAAATAAAAAAATAACATAACCTAAAATATAAAACCAATGTATATAAGCGACACAACAATATAAAATCAAAACATTACGACATTAAAATGATCACCATGGGAAAGGCCAGATTCAAGGATTAAAATATTAAAACACTGGGAGATAGGGCAATGTAAAATATCAGGGAGGGGCTCCGAGGGATGAGGTAGGATTTAATTGCACAAAAAGAAAATAAAGTGCTTCTGAGGACATATTATGCAGAGTTTGGTCAGATATTATTATGTAATCAATCACTGAAGGTACATTGGAACAGCCAAGTTTTCAGGCTCATCCTGAAGACTGCCGGAGTGGGAGCTTGCCTAATGTCTCTGGGGAGCAAATTCCAGAGCCGAGGGGCCACCACAGAGAAGGCCCTCTCCCTCGTCCCCAGCAGTCACGTTTGCGATGGAGGCAGGAGTGAGAATATGGTTTTCTGTGGGCGAGCAGTTGGTGACTACTGGATGGCATATGTTCTGTATCAGAAACTACAGCTGATGTGGTCTATCCAATGCAATTTTCTGAATCAGCACCCCAAATAACCAAACCGAATCTAAAGATGATCAAAAACTAATTTGGAATCCATTTGGTACTAACGTTGGAGAATGGCCCCAGGTCAAAAAAAGGTTGGGAACCACTGGTCTAAATAAAGCATATGTGAGCTCCAAAAAAAATAAATAAAAAAAATGGAAGAGCAAGATTAAGGATCTCTTCAGATCTTTTCCTGCCCAGAAACAAGACCCCGCTCGTGAGACCTCACTTCACTTGGTGCCATCATCAGAACCAGTCTTCCTTATCCACCCAGATGAACCTATACAACACAACCATCACCTGCCTCCCACAAAGTTTGTTGAACAAAGAAAACAGAGAAATATTTGAAAGTCTGGAGGTTTTCTTTCTTGATCGGATTGGCACTTTTCGCTCTTGCAGTTCCCCCAAGCCACACAGCCTTGCAAAATGCCAGTTTTTGAAATGATATGAGGAGAAACACCAGTCTCTCTGATGCTAGTCTCCACTCAAAAGCATCTATCTTCAATCAAAACGCTGATGTTCTTAAAGAGGGTTGAATCTATCAAGGAACAGCAACTGTAGTGAACTTTATTGAAACAAAAGTCTTAAACAGAGTTGTAAAGAAAAAAGCACTGGCTGAATGTTGGAGACAGGGTTCTACCCTGGATGACAACACCCTGTGTAACAAGAAGAGGGTGAAGTAACTTCTGGCCATGCTAGAACAGACAACGAATACCATGAACCAAATTTACAGCAGCCATAGAGAACAGAATAGTGTCTTTCAAGACATTTAATTGGAGGAAAAGACTTATGAAGTGCATTACTAAATAACACTAAGAGTTGATCTCATCCAGCACTGCATACGAGGCAACGATCACCCAAATTCTTGTGCAAACCTATGTAGAACAGCACTGGCGTGATTAATGCCTCTTGTTGACCCTCAGCATGTGATAATCTTGGTGCCCTGATTCATTTCCCAACTGAAGCATGAGGAATCCCATGCTGCCTACCTAAAACTCCCCCTGTTATTTCAACTGGGCCATGGGAACACTTCTCCACAGTCTGTCCTAAGGTCTCAGGTGGCACTGTTGTGGGCTGTTAAGAGAGATGCCGGGCACACACTGCCACAGAGGCAGTGGCATTGCAGTGTTGGGAGTGACCACATAAAAAACAAACAGGGACAGCATCCTAGAGGCACAGCTCCTGAAAGACAAAAAACCACCATTAAAGAACTACTGCAAGTGGAGTGGAAAAAACTGAGCACAGGGAAGAAGAAGGAGGGGAAGGGGAAGCAACGCTTACTAGATTTAATCACTTGACAGGAGTTTCAGGAGCAGCTCCTCCACTCCAGTGATCTGTAAGAGACAAAAAGAGCTTTCAGAGCTACTGAATCATTGGTGCCAGCTTTCCAAAAACTCATAGCTGAGCATGTTTGCAGCTCTACCTACCATTAAATGGTGTTCAATGCCCCAGATGCGGGAGTTACTATCCCGATACTGCTGCCCCTCTGAGAGCTGCCACATGTGGGGCAGCTGGGATGCAGGGAGGCGGCTGGGGCGCATCGCCTCGCCCAGAGGGACCTGGACCCTTCTTATCCGAGCTTGGAGGATGCCTGCTTCCTAGGGGAAAAGCATAATGCAACAAAAAAGGGCAAAAAATGTGAGCAGTTGCTTAAACAATTCAAGCCAAACACCAAAATCATCCAAACAAAAAAGTGCAGGGAGTATTCTTACTTGCCTCTTCGGGTGTCACCAGCCATGTCTTCTGGTTCTCGTCACAATAGACACCCGTCCGTCGCACCCAAAGGCGGACAGGTGGGGACCGGGCATCGCCGTCTTCCTCTCCTTCCGCCATTCCCAATTACGTTGCTAGGAAGGCCCTCCCTCCATTCCCCTTCTACACATGGTCCCCTTGGAATAAAGATACGGAATGAACTGTTAGTTCTCTATCCACCTGGCATGCGGTTCTGTTGTACAAGCATATACTTCAGTTAACACAGCCTCACAACAAGGACGTTCCTTTTTGCAGACTACCAGCCCCGCTTTTGCCTCCACATACATTTCCCGATTTAGGTTTTTAGCAGCATCAGCACTGGGAGGATGGCAAAGAAGGACCAGAGAAACCAGTTGCAATATGCAAACAGTAAGCAGTACGATAAAATTTGATGTGGGAAAGCTTGGGATTTTACTGCAGCCAATCCTATTGTAGTCATATTTGCTTGCCTCCAGCAGGCAGATAAATGGCAGCCATTTCCAGAATCCCTTTCTGATTATGTGGAATCAGCAAAACAAAAAGGGCCTGCCTCACCAGTGAGCCCTCGGCACATTAAAAAGATCTACAGGTTTAACCACCGAAATGGCAATCATGGAAAAAAGATGGAAGAAAGTGAGTGAAAACCATATCTGGATGTATTTTGGAACAAGCCTTCAAATTGGCTCTAGAAAGTTCAAAATGTTTCAGTCTTTCATACAAATTTAATCTGATTTGGTTTCTACATGCTCATATTGTTAGCTTTGGTAAAGACGTTTACCGGAGATTGTTGTTACTCTTCCTTTCTATCCCCTCTGGTTTTGGTGTACATGAACAGATCAAACTTTCTGTTCAAAAATATTCAATAACATATCTACTTTGTTAACTGAGGTATAAAGTACTTGTTTTTTTATGAAACATTTAAAAAATGAGGAAAGGGGTTAGCAGGGGAGAAATTTAGGAAACACATGCCTTCCACTGTAACCTTAGAAGGTACTCAACGAGTTGCACCTCACCTAAAGGGCACATTTCAGTCTTCAGGAAGGAGAAGTGCTACAGACTCATGACATGTAATCTGACCTTGTTCAGTGAGACCCTTCTGTCATCTGCAAAGTATTTGAGGATTCATGCTGTTCGGTCAACAGCAAAGGGTGACTGACAGACTGAATATGTCCAGGAGATGCCTTAGTTGACCATTTAATTGGTGCTGAGTCCTTCCAGGAGCTTGTCTTCATGTCTTCTTTTCTGATGTCTTTTCTTCCGTCCATTTCTGTAATCTCTGCTTCTATGGGCCATTGGAGAAGGGAGGAACTGTGCCGGTCTCTTTCTGACATAAAATCTTGAAATCACAGGAGCTGCACCAATCATATTTCTGCTTTACTTCTTTCTTCTGCTGTTCCTCAAAATACTATATGCCCAGTTGTGGTCCACCAGATACACACCAGCCCTAGTAAACATACCCGATAGTGAGGACCAATGAGAGCTGCGGTTCAAAATATCTGGTGAGTCATAGTAACTACCTCTGCTGGCATTAATTAAGAGAGAAAGAATTCAAAACTATGAAAAAGAGGGAAATTTGCTATATCACTTCCTCTCAATGAGCAGGATATTCTTCTGCCCTTTCTGTCCCTGCTCCAACTACATGGTTAGGCAGTGTTTTCTGGTCTAGAATCACAAATGGTTGTGTTTTTTTTTTAAGGAGATGCTTTTTCACTGGCATCTAACAAATGCACTGGTGACATGGTGATCTTTGTGCAGATAGACTTTTTTATTATCCCGCTGATTATAAAAACAGAGTGAAAGGCAAATGAAACATGTGCAAGAATATCATCCTACAGATGAAAATTCTTATGGCATTCTCAGTCTCAAACTGGAAAAAAGGATGAACATTAGCAAAATGCAGATGAGGAAAATCATACTTTAGTATTGCGAGGGGAGAAACAAGAAATATGAAATATAGATTTTAGGGAGAAAAAAAAGTATTTCCAAGTGCACAGAAAAAAACAACATTCTCTTTCCTTTGGTTACAAGCAGTGAAATAACAACAATGTTCTAAACTTTTATAAAGGGAAAATTGGCTTCACATGTAAACACATTGAGAATATAAAACTTAAAAAAATGGAGGGGACTCAAGTGTTAACTCCCAAGAGAAAAGAATGCTTCGCATCTGCAGTCAGACTGAAGGAGGCCAATTCTCTGGCCAGAAGAAATCATTCAAGCCTTTTTGCTAAGCGTGCCATATGCTGTAGAGGGCGCAGACTTGGGAAACTGTGAGTCAGTGCTATACAAGTTCCATGCAAGCCGTTTCCGGGCAGGAAGTAGGACTCATCATGAAATTGTTCCTTTCCCCATTTTCAAGAAGTTGACACCCCTAGAATCAGTCTGATGTGGCAAATTCAAAATCACATCATTTATTCATGGCAACGAAGAGAGTCGGGCTCTTTGTTGAGGTTGTACACTCTCCTAGCAGCACTTATCTGTTTGGCTTACAGTCAGAATTGATTCAGAAGCAAGAGATTTCTCAGCAAAGTTTCCCCCACTCTTCCAAGCTGCACCTCAAATGTCCCAAGAGGTCTTGTATTCACACATTCAGAAATACAGCATTCAGCCTGCATTACTGCACTATTTCCCCATAACACCTATTAAGGTCATTCACTTTAACATAACCAATAACAAAAAAGGTGGTGGTTTAAGAGTCTGGGTGATTTTCGGTTCATGCAAAACAAAGGAATTGTGGAGAGAAGACAGTCAGCATAGTAAATATACAACTATGGATCCCCAGCCTGAGGTCTCAATGTCTATTATTATACTTACTATTATTGTGTTTATTTATACCCAACTTTTTCTCTCCACAAAGGCAATTGTTTCCTCACACCTATAAGCAACCTTTATTTCTGTAATGCAGCTGCTACCTCCAGACCCGGAAACAAATGGTCATTTCCCTATCTTTTCTTCTTAAGAGTTGAATTCTGATTAATACAGTACATGGAGTAAAAAAGAAAGAGCAACAGGGTGCAATGATACGCTTGCAGAAGGTGACCACTTAAAGCACCCCAGGAGTCTTAAATAAGGCTTCCAAGACTTCGACTTTGACAAAGTTTCTTGCTCTTTCTCATTGTAGCAAACATGTGTGACATCCTAAGTGTAGTGGAAAGCATGCAAATACAATTGACTTGCAATTTTTCACAACTAGGAAAACCAAAATAACAAAGAGGATGAATGAAAAGGACACTGCTGGTGGCATATTTTCCAGCAAAATGAAAAGGGGAAAAAAAGATGAGATTAGGAATGGCGAAAGAGGAATGACTGAACTGTCCTGAAAATTTACTGCCAGAGCTGCAATTTCAAGTAAATAATGATTACAGATTACACCAAAGATAATAATAATAATAATAATAATAATAATAATAATAATAATAGATGTCGCCATACCGGGTGACAGTCAAGTTGAGGAAAAACAACAGGAAAAGCTCAGCTTTTATCAGGACCTCAAAAACAAACTGCAAAAGCTCTGGCATAAACCAGTACAGGTGGTCCCAGTGGTCATCGGCACACTAGGTGCCGTGCCAAAAGATCTCAGCTGGCATTTGGAAACAATAAACATTGACAACATCACAATCTGTCAACTGCAAAAGGCCACCTTACTTGGATCTGTGCCCATCATTCGAAAATACATCACACAGTCCTAGATGCTTGGGAAGTGTTCAACTTGTGATTTTGTGATACGAAATTCAGCATATAGGTCTTGTTTGCTGTGACATACTGTGGTTTTGTGTCAGTAAAATAATAATAATAAACTTTATTTATATTCCACCCTATCTCCCCTGAGAGATTCAGGGCAGATTCCAACAAACAAAAAGGCAAACATTAAATGCCTCAGTAACAGTAAATACAAATATAATAACCCAAAATAACCCTGCATAAAGAGCTATTTAAGCATAACAGTAATTTAAATAAAAAATAATCAATTGAAAATTATAACTAACATAGAACTTGAATATAAAACATTTTAATTAATATATCAAAACAACACGAAAGTTCACAGATGTGTGCAAAGATTGTATCGCCAAAGTTGTTAAATGGGCTACTGTGATCTATTGGCCCGAGTGAAGTAGTAGTTTCTCTTCATCTATATGACAGTGTTGGCTCGGATAACTCAGTTCACATTGTGGATGATCTGCTTTGATATTCTGAGTTATGTGGATATGGGCCCTTCCACATACCGTTATATCCTAGAATATCAAGGCAGAAAATCCCACATTATCTGAGTGTGGACTCAGATAACCCAGTTCAAAGAAGAGATTTTGGGATTTTCTCCCTTGATATACTGGGTTATAGGGCTGTGTGGAAGGGCCCTCAGATAACCCAGTTCAAAGCAGATATTGTGGGATTTTCTCCCTTGATATTCTGGGTTAGAGGGCTGTGTAGAAGGATCCTAAAATAACCCAGTTCAAAGCAGATATTGTGGGATTTTGTCCCTTGATATTCTGGGTTAAAGGGCTGTGTGGAAGGGCCCTCAGATAACCCAGTTCAAAGCAGAGATTGTGGGGTTTGCTCCCTTGATATTCTGGGTTATAGGGCTGTGTGGAAGGATCCTAAAATAACCCAGTTCAAAGAAGAGATTGTGGGATTTTCTCCCTTGATATTCTGGGTTATAGGGCTGTGTGGAAGGGCCCTCAGATAACCCAGTTCAAAGCAGATATTGTGGGATTTTCTCCCTTGATATTCTGGGTTAGAGGGCTGTGTAGAAGGATCCTAAAATAACCCAGTTCAAAGCAGATATTGTGGGATTTTGTCCCTTGATATTCTGGGTTAAAGGGCTGTGTGGAAGGGTCCTAAACTAACCCAGTTCAAAGCAGAGATTGTGGGGTTTGCTCCCTTGATATTCTGGGTTAAAGGGCTGTGTGGAAGGATCCTAAAATAACCCAGTTCAAAGCAGAGATTGTGGGATTTTCTCCCTTGATATCCTGGGTTATAGGGCTGTGTGGAAGGGTCCTAAAATAACCCAGTTCAAAGCAGAGATTGTGGGGTTTCTCCCTTGATATTCTGGGTTAGAGGGCTGTGTGAACCTTGGGCGAGTCACATTCTCTCAGCCTGAGAAGGAAAGCCAAGGCAAATCCTTTTGGGCCAATTCGGAGAAGGGCTGGAACCACCTGAGAAGGCCTGAAGTATCTCGAGGGGACACAAAACACAACCACATAAAACCCAAACGGCTTCCTTCGAGGGGTAAAGCGCCCCGCAGAGGAGTTCCCATGGCAACAGGAGAGAGGCCTACACGGGGAGAGTCAAGCCTCCGCTCGAGTAGGTTCACACACCCTTACTTATTGAGTAGGTTCACACACCCTTTCCCGATTAGTTTTCCGCCTCCCCCAAAAAAATGGCAGTAACGATAATGACACCCTGCCCCCGGTCTCCCACCAGCGGAACCGACCTGGCTCAGCGTTAGCAGCGGAACCCATCCAACGCGTCTTCTGGGAGCTGGCCGGGCACTTCCGGTAGAGGACTAGTCGGGGACCGGAACCGGAAGTCGGCGTTGTCCGGGAGACGCGGAAGGAGAGGACCCTCGGGGATCGGCTGCCTGGGAGGAGGAGGAGGCCGGGATGGCGGTGCAGGCGGCCCACCTGGAGGCCGACGCCTTCCTGGTCTGCCTGAACCACGCGCTGAGCACCGAGAAGGAGGAGGTCATGGGCCTCTGCATCGGGGAGGTGAGGCGCCCCAGCCGAGGAACAGGCCTTCCTTCTGTGGGAGGGGGAAGAAAGCTCCAGCGGGGAGGGGGCCCTTTCCCCCCGGATAACAGCTCTTCCAGGAGTGGATTTCCCTTTTTTCTTATTTATTTATTTATTTATTTATTTACAGCTTTTATATCCCGCCCTTCTCACCCCGCAGGGGACTTAGGGCGGATTACAGTCTACACATATATGGCAAACATTCAATGCCAATTTTTGACATACGAACATATACAGACAAACACAGAGGCTATTTAACCTTTGCTGGCTGCCAGGGGAGCTGTCGCTTTCATCGTCCATCTGCGACGCTGATGAAGCACTTCCGCATTCCCCGCATGCTTCCCCGCTGGAATAGCTTTGCTGGAGTCTTTTTTGTGGCCTCATAAATCAGTTAATTTAGCCTCCCCACACTTTAAGGTGGTACCTAATTTTCCTACTTGACAGATGCAACTGTCTTTCGGGTTGCAAAGGTCGACAACAGGCTACACCAGTGATGGGCAACCATTTGAGCTTGATGTGTCAACATTTGCCAAAAACCTGAACATAACTTGAGTGGGGGTGTCACTTCGAGAGAAAAAACCCCATAATTTTGCTATATTTATAGTTTAAATAAGAAAACGTATAATCCATGCTGAGTGAACAATGCTCAAACGTGCAGATGTTAAATTTGTAGAGCCTTTTACAAATTTAAAGATGGAATTAGATTAGTTCTTATAAGGTGTACTTCTTTCTATGCGGCTGCATGTGTCTGCGTGTCATCAAAAATAGCCATGCGTGTCAGTGCTGACACACGTGTCATAGGTTCACCATCATGGGGCTACACAATTGGTTGGAAACCCACTCCAACCCGGGCTGGCTTCGAACTCATGACCTTTTGGTCAGAGTGATCTTAATGCAGCAGACACTCAGGCAGCTGCACCACAATCCCCTGAGACCACAATTTCTTGTGGTCTCAGCGCCCTCCCACACAGCCCTCTATCCCAGAATATCAAGGCATTTATTTATTTATCATGTCAGGCAACAGAACAGTTGTATTAAATTTTTGACAGAACAAACAAACAGACAGACAAAACATAAAGTTTGCAAGCTTGGTAGTTGATTACTTACTGTACAGGATGTGCAAACCAATTGTACAGTTGTGGATGATTATGGAGGGAATTAATCTCAGGCCTCAATTGTGTATAAGAATATATTATAGAGGAGGCCAATTATTACTTGTAAATTAAGGTAACTGCCACCAACGTGAGGTATTTGAGGCACCACCGATGAGATCTGGCTCTACAGACGCACTCCAAGTGGCCAGAGACTGGTCAAAGGACATTTAACCAACTGCCAAGTTTGCAAAATCTGTGTGTTTTTTTTCTTTTTCTTTTTAATCTGTGTGTTTGTTTTGTTCTGTTAGAATTGTAACACAATGGTATGGTTGCTGATGACACGATAAATAAATAAATAAATAGACGCAGATTAATTGAGATGAGACGGTCTTCAACAAAAGATAACAAGTTTATTGTGTACAAAGCGTATGGTTGCAGGCTGTTATATAACTTATAGAACTTTGAATATCACTTGGTTTGTAATACAGTCCACTCTTCCAGATGACACAGCTCGTGGCTAATTTTTACTGAGGTGAAGCTCTTTAGTGAACAATGTTTCCTACTATGAATAGCCTTCCACTTTGATCTTTCCTTGATCAAATCTCTGATCTCTAGTCCTTCCTTGACTAGGGATCTTAACAAGCTTCCTTTAGTCTTCTTTGACTAAAGAAACTGGCCAGGTTTCTCTCTTCAGCCCTCCTAGACTGAAAAACCTCCAGCTGCCCACACACACCGCTCTCCCAGGCTTTTCAAGCCTCCACTCTGCCCCTTTTCCAAAGACGCACATAACTTTTCCTGCTTGGCTCCGCCCACTTCTCACTCTCCTGAGCTAGTCTGCCTGGTCTCCTTGGCAACACTCACTGTGGATTCAAACCAGATAACTCTAGTTTTAGCTACTGTTACAAACACAAATATATACTTTAACAGTTAAAAACATACATAGTATCAATGACTTCTGCACACTTACTTACTTACTTAGGCGATCCCTCGCTTTCCGAGGATGATTGTCTTCCAATATTCTTGTGGGTCCGTATGTGGCTGTGGAGCCCTATTCTTGCTCTGCATCTTCTTCCGCAGTGAGGGCATTGGTTTCCAGGTGGAAGGCGGTCTCGGTCGGGGTTGGCCTGACGCGCCTTCCACTTGGCACGCTTCTCCCTTTCGCCCTCCATTCGTGCTTCTTCAAATTCTGCAGCACTGCTGGTCACAGCTGACCTCCAACAGGAGCGCTCAAGGGCCAGGGCTTCCCAGTTCTCAGTGTCTATGCCGGAGTTTTTAAGGTTGGCTTTGAGCCCATCTTTAAATCTCTTTTCCTGTCCACCAACATTCTGTTTTCCATTCCTGAGTTCGGAGTAGAGCAACTGCTTTGGGAGATGGTGGTCGGGCATCCGGACAACGTGGCCGGTCCAGCGGAGTTGATGGCGGAGGACCATCGCTTTAATGCTGGTGGTCTTTGCTTCTTCCAGCACGCTGACGTTTGTCCGCCTGTCTTCCCAGGAGATTTGCAGGATTTTCCGGAGGCAGCGCTGATGGAATCGTTCCAGGAGTTGCATGTGACGTCTGTAGACAGTCCACGTCTCACAGGCATATAGCAGGGTTGGGAGGACAATAACTCTATAAACAAGCACCTACGGATGTCCCAGTCCTCAAACACTCTCTGCTTCATTCGGAAAAATGCTGTGCTCGCAGAGCTCAGGCGGTGTTGTATTTCGGTGTCGATGTTGACTTTGGTGGAGAGGTGGCTGCCAAGGTAGCGGAAATGGTCAACATTTTCTAATGTTACACCATTAAGCTGTATCACTGGCATTGGAGAGGGGTTGGTTGGTGTCTGCTGGAACAGCAACTTGGTTTTTTCAGTGTTCAATGACAGGCCGAGCTTCTCATATGCTTCTGCGAAGGTGTTTAGAGTGGCTTGTAGATCTTCTTCTGAATGCGCACAGACGACGGTAGTTGATTAAATGTCCTTTGACCAGTATCTGGCCACTTGGAGTGCTTCTGGTGTTGCTGCAAAAAGGTCCTCCATTGTGCATGCGGCAGGGCTCAGGTTGCATCGCGGCAGGTGGTCAGTGGTTTGCTCTTTTCCACACTCGCATGTCGAGGATTCCACTTTGTAGCCCCATTTCTCAAGGTTGGCTCCGTATCTCGTGGTGCCAGAATGCAGTCTGTTCAGCGCCTTCCAAGTCGCCCAGTCTTCTGTGTGCCCAGGAGGAAGTCTCTCATTGGGTATCAGCCATTGGTTGAGGTTCTGGGTTTGAGCCTGCCACTTTTGGACTCTTGCTTGCTGAGGTGTTCCAGCAAGTGTCTCTGTAGATCTTAGAAAACTATTTCTTGATTTAAGTCGTTGACGTGCTGGCTGATACCCAAACAAGGGATGAGCTGGAGATGTCTCTGCCTTGGTCCTTTCACTATTGGCTGCTACTTCCCGGCAGATGTCAGGTGGTGCAATACTGGCTAAGCAGTGTAATTTCTCCAGTGGTGTAGGGCGCAGACACCCCGTGATAATACAGCATGTCTCATTAAGAGCCACATCCACTGTTTTAGTGTGGTGAGATATGTTCCATACTGGGCATGCAAACTCAGCAGCAGAGTAGCACAGCACAAGGGCGGATGTCTTCACTGTGTCTGGTTGTGATCCCCAGGTTGTGCCAGTCAGCTTTCATATGATATTGTTTCTAGCACCCACTTTTTGCTTGATATTCAGGCAGTGCTTCTTGTAGGTCAGGGCACAGTCCAGAGTGACTCCCATTGTAACCCAGTTCAAATCAGATATTGTGGGATTTTCTGCCTTGATATCCTGGCATATAGGGCTGTGTGGGAGGGCACTGAGATCACAAGAAGTGCATCTTCCAAACAAGGCTTATATCCCAGAATCTGATAACATGTTTTCTCTTCTTCCCATATTATATGCCTGTGTGGACTCGGGACCCTTCCACACAGCCATATAACCCAGCATATCAGGGCAGAAAATCCTATAATATCTGCTTTAAACTGGGTCCCTTCCGCACAGCCCTATATCCTAGAACAGGGGTTCACAAACTTTTTAAACAGAGGGCCAGGTCACAGTCCCTCAAACTGTTGGAGGGCCGGATTATAATTTGAACATGAATTCCTATGCACGCTGCATATATCTTATTTGTAGTGTAAAAAACACTTTAAAACAATACAATAATTAAAATGAAGAACAATGTTAACAAATATAAACTTATTAGTATTTCAATGGGAAATGTGGGCCTGCTTTTAGCTGATGATATAGGATTGTTGTTGTTGTTATGTGCTTTCAAGTCATTTCAGACAGGTTGACCCTGAGCAAGGGCCGGGTAAATGACCTTGGAGGGTCGAATCCAGCCCCCGGGCCTTAGTTTGAGGACCCCATCCTAGAATATCAAGGCAGAAAATCCCACAATATATGCTTTAAACTGGGTCCCTTCCACACAGTGTGGACTCAGATAACCCAATTCAAAGCAGATATTGTGGGATTTTCTGCCTTGATATTCTGGGATATAGGGATGTGGGGGGGCTAAATCCACACTCAGACAATGTGGGATTTTCTGCCTTGATATTCTGGGATATAGGGGTGTGTGGGGGGGGGGGGTAAATCCACATTAATCTACTGTGGGATTTTCTGCCTTGATGTTCTGGGATGTACGACTGTGCAGAAGGGCCCTCAGTGCCCTTCCATACAGGCCCTATATCCCAGGAACTGATAACAGGTTTTCTCTTAATCCTATATTATATGCTAGTGTGAACTCTGGGCCCTTCCACACAGCCATATAACCCAGAATATCAGGGCAGAAAATCCCACAATATTTTCTTTGAACGGGGGTATCTGAGTCCACACTGCCACACTGCCATACATTCCAGTTTAAAGCAGATAGTGTGGGATTTTATTCAGCTGTGTGGAAGGGGCCTCAGATAACCCAGTTTCTGAATCCAGGGGTCCTTCCACACAGCCTTACATCCTAGAACAGTGGTTCTCAACCTGTGGATCCCCAGGTGTTTTGGCCTACAACCCCCAGAAATCCCAGCCAGTTCACCAGCTGTTAGGATTTCTGGGAATTGAAGGCCAAAAATATCTGGGGACCCACAGGTTGAGAACCACTTTCCTAGAATATCAAAGCAGAAAATCCCACAATATCTGCTTTGAACTGGGTTATCTGAGGGTCCTTCCACACAGCCCATATCCCAGAATATATCAAGGCAAAAAAATCCCACATTATCTGAGTGTGGACTCAGATAACCCAGTTCAAAGCAGATATTGTGGGATTTCCTGCTTTGATATTCTGGGATATAGGGCTGTGTGGAAGGGCCCCTTGTCCACACTCAGATAATGTGGGATTTTCTGCCGTGAAATTCTGAAGTATAGGACTTTGTGGAAGTGCCCCTAAATATCTTCTATGAACTGGGTTATATGGCAGTGTAGATCCAGCCTGCATTACTCTCTTGTCATTCTTCTGATGCTGTTGCTTATTCTCACTTGCCTCCTTTTTAAAAACAAAATCTGCTTTTCTATTGAGTTTTAATTTCTGCCATCTCAGAAGTGCAGCTGGACTGAAGGCAGCCTTGCTTGCAAAATAAACTCATTAAATCACAAAATGGGACATAAATACAAGGAGCTATTAATGAGAGTTGTATTCTGGATTTGTCTCCAGGTCGACACTAGCCGAATTGTCCATATTCATTCGGTGATCATTCTCCGAAGGTCGGATAAAAGAAAGGACCGGGTGGAGATTTCTCCTGAGCAGCTCTCAGCTGCTTCGACAGAAGCAGAGATATCCTTTGATGGAGATTATGGGGAATCGATGAAAAGGAGACGGGTTTTTTTGGTTAAGATTTTTTTTTCCAGAAAAAGAGAAATATAATATTTACATCCTTTAGAGATTTAGTTACTTTAGGAATTTATATATAACTTGAATTTGAATGTAAAATGTCATGTCTAATGTAAGTATTGTTTATTCAGGATATAATGACAAATTGAACTTTATTCAAATGTTATTTTCTGTGATGAATAAAGCTACATAGGTCTAAACTATGAGGACCATTGTACTATAAAGAAGACCTTTGCTTTAGCCAGTTTGAGGAGCTGACACAACCCTCTCATCTCCTTTAAAAGAAGCAAACTAGAAAACGGGCCATTATTTTGTCTTCACTAGTTCTTCCTTATTTCAAGTATAATTAATACACTAAAGGTATAGGTTTTCCCCAACATTTAGTTATGTCCAACTCTGGGGGTTGGTGCTCATCTCCATTTCTAAGCCGAAGAGCTGGCATTGTCTGTAGACACCTCCTAGGTCATGTGGCCAGCATGACTGCATGGAGTTCAGTTACCTTCCTGCTGAAGCGGTACCTATTGATCTACTCACATGTACGTGTTTTTGAACTGCTAGGTTGGCAGAAGCTGGGCCTAACAGTGGGAGCTCACCCTGCTCCCCGGATTCAAACCGCCAACCTTCCAGTCAGCAAGTTCAGCAGCTCAGTGGATTAACCTGCTACGCCACCAGAGGGCACTTATTTCCATTAAAAAAAACCAACGGAAGCAAAGACCAAAAATTGTAATGATGTGATACTATATTAAATAAACACCTTTGTCTCATATATATTTTTAGAAATGATTACATTTGTAACCAGTGCAATATTATAAGGGTCAGCTAAGTTTAGTGGTGCAGTGTGGGAGTCCGGGTGAAGCCATATCTAACATTTTTAAAAACAAGACCTTAACTACCACACAGATTGGCTGAATTAACAGGGCGGCCTATGAGGGTTGTGGGCTGGTATCATTCTCATCCGCACATAACAGTCTGGCCATCTCATGTAGGTAAGATAATTCTTTTTGAAGTTTGTCCCTCATCTTGCCCAGGATGGGATTGAGAATGTGTGACCCTCGAGATGTTGCTGAGCCATACTCTTATCAGCCCTCTCCTGCATGGCCAGTGCGCTGAAGGATGATGAGAACTGTAATCCAGCAAACCTTGGAAGGTGGTGGTCATTAAACTATGTAACAAACAATATTTATGAGATATATATATATATATATATATATATATATATATATATATAGCCGTTCCCTTCCATGCGTTGCTGTGGCCCACTCTGGTGGTTATGGAGGTTCTGTGTGGGAGGTTTGGCCCAATTCTATCATTGGTGGGGTTCAGAATGCTCTGCTCTATACATTCCAGCAACTACAACTCCCAAATGTCAAGATTCTATTTTCCCTAAACTCCACCAGTGTTCACATTTGTTCACATTTGGGCATATTGAGTATTCATGTAGACTTTGGTCCAGATCCATCATTGTTTGAGTCCACAGTGACCTCTGGATGTAGGGGAACTACAACTCCAAAACCAAAGAACACTGCCCACCAAACCCTTCCAGTATTTTCTGTTGGTCATGGGAGAACTGTGTGCCAAGTTTGGTTCAATTCCATCGTTGGTGGGGTTCAGAATGCTCTTTGATTGTAGGTGAACTATAAATCCCAGAAACTGCCACTCCCAAATGACAAAATCAATCTTTTTTTAGTGAAGGACATACATTGGGTTGTTAGGTGTCTTGTGTCCAAATTTGGTGTCAATTCATCCAGTGGTTTTTGAGTTACGTTAATCGCACAAACTAACATTTTATTTTATTTCTTATATATATAGATATAGATATATTCAGAGCTTCAGCTGGATGACAGTGGATGGAATTCATTCTTTTTTCATTGCTGTGGGTTTTTTAATTGTATTCGTTTTTATTTCAACAAACAACAACTTTGGGGATTATTTGGAGCTTGATTGCAGCTTTCTTTATAATATTATCTATCAGATGTCATCCCTTTAGTGGTTCTTTCCAAAGCTTGGCTATTTCTGCATAAAACTGACATCTGTGTCTGGTTTGAGTCTTCAAGGGAGACGGTCCTGTGATTACTTTTCAAGGAGTGACCTGTGAACTCTTGACTTCGTGGTTTGTGTTCCCTGTTTTTTATGTACATAGATGTCCGTACACAAGCAATGTATCAGATGATGGACCAAGGCTTTGTGGGGCTGATATTCTCCTGCTTTATTGAGGACAAAAACACAAAGGTAAACAGGATACAGATAAATATCCTCCACTCATGTCTCAAAGCAAATATCTCACTATCTGTTCTCATGTGGAATGAACATTCTGTTTGTATTTAGAGCAGGGGCGAGGACTGTGTTGGCCTCACCTGTTGTTGTCCTGAATTCTTCCCCAGCCCTGGCCAGCATAGTCTGTGGAGAGGAGTGCAATATCAAAAATATTTATGTTCTTTATCCAAGCATTAGAGGAATTATGTCATGTCCTGCAGTTGATCATAGTTGATATTGTGGAATGCCTAGCAGTTGGTGGTGGTTAGTATATATAATGCTTGGGTGATGGTAGTTGGGTAAAAGGTAATATGGGATCATGATTAACAAAGCGGTGATGCTGCAAAAGGAATGGAAGGGGTTAATCTCCCTCCTGGGGTTAAAGGTCAGAGTAATCTATTTGTAAGAACTCACAGGCAGGCAGCAATTGGAGGGAGGCCTTTTTTTAATGTCAGAAGCGACTTGAGAAACTGCAAGTCACTTCTGGTGTGAAAGAATTGGCTGTCTGCAAGGATGTTGCCCAGGGGACAATGCCCAGATATTTTACCATTCTGTGGGAGGCTTCTCTCATGTCCCTGCATGGGAAGCTGAAGCTGACAGACGGAAGCTCACTCTGCTCCCCGGGTTCGAACCACTAACCTTTCAGTCAGCAGTTCAGCCAGCACAAGGGTTCAATCCATTGCAAAGGCAGAAGGCCACTATAGACCAAAAAGTAATACAGATATATAATCACAATAATGTATCTCATATCTATATTTATAGTACTAAAACATTCAATGTACTGGCATCTACTTCATGCAATTATAAATTGTGGATTCTAAAAAAGGACTGATATACTGCGTTTTACTGTTGACAAACTTTGGTCTAAAATAAGGACTTACAAACTTGTACATTCAGCTGTAGGAATCAGCTGTGTACCCACATCAAGAAGCTCTGGATAAGAGACTTGCAAAAAAGACTTACAAACTTTGTTATTGATAAACTTTTGGTTTTCAAAAAGAACCTACAAACCTGTGCATTCTGCTGTAAGAATTAGTTTTATTTATTTATTTATTATTTGGACTTATATGCCGCCACTCCCCTGGGGCTCGGAGCGGCTTACAAGAATGGCTAAAATCTAACAAAATTTAAAAGCAATGTAAAACAATTTAAAAACGGCAATATCAAACATTAAAAGCCTGTCGAAACAGGTATGTCTTACATGCCGTGCGGAAAGCTGGTAAGTCCCGCAAGGCACGGACTTCAAGTGACAGAATATTCCAGAGTGATGGTGCCACTGCTGTGAAGGCTCTGCGTCTGGTTGCTGTTAGACGCAAGGTCTTGACACTGGGAATTTCCAATAGATCTTGGTCCTCAGAACGGAGGGATCTCTGGGGTTGGTAGGGGGTGAGGCGGTCCCTCAGATACATTGGCCCCAGACCATGCAAGGCCTTAAAGGTGAGTACCATCACTTTGAGAGTGATCCGGTGCTCAATCAAGTTGTTTATCCCATATAAGGAAATCTTTTGGTTTAAATAATTGCATGAAGTATACTGTGTAGTAGATGCCAGTACATTGAATGTTTTCGTATTATAAGCATAGATATGAGATACATTATTGTGAGTATATAACTGTATTACTTTTTGGTCTATAGTGGCCTTCTGCCTTTGCCTTTCAGGGAATCCTTGCTCTCTAGTGTTTAATCCACTGTGCCACGGGGGGCTCCTATGAATCAGGTAGTTCAAGTGAAATAAACTTATGTTTGGGGATGGGTAAATTAACATGATTTAGGTGTTTTTTATAAACATGTTTCCACTGATTTCTTCAGACAGGCCGGATTCTGTACACTTGTTTCCAGTCCATTCAAGCCCAAAAGAGCTCAGAGTAAGTTGAAGAGTTCAGCAAAGCCTTGCCTTTTAAGTGGGACTTGCCTCCAAGTAAGCATGAATAGCATTGTTCTGTAGAACTCTTGCGTCCACATACACGACAATCACATTGATGTTTTTCTGTCTTTTAGATACGAAAGGATTGAAATTCCGATTCACGTTGTTCCTCACAACACCATTGGGAAAGTGTGTCTTGAGTCAGCTGTTGAACTGCCTAAGATCTTGTGTCAAGAGGAGCAGGATGCTTATAGGAAAATCCACAGGTAAACCAAGTGTTCTCTTCTTTCCAAATCACAGGGGTGGCTAGCACACTATGGGTGTCCCTTTTCAAGGTCCCTTCTATCTCTTTTGCATAAAGTATAGCAACGGTGGACACCTCAGGCCTTGGAAGCAAATTAAGGCACTGGACTTCATAGAAAACAATATTCCTATGATGCCACTGCTCTCTGACTTCCTATTTTATATATATTATTCACGTGTGTGTATATATATATATATGTATACTTTCAAACAAGACTCCAAATGCCTTAGAATCCCATTCTTAGCTTTTGGACTTAGTTTCTTAGTTTTTCTATGTGCCCTCCCCCTTTTCAATTCCAAAACAGTTGAAATGTCCAGATTACATCTCTTATCTCTGATAGCTAAAATGGAATCTGGATCTCGAGTATAGTGTTCAGATCCAGGAAAGCCATGCTACCTCTCTATTCTGCCTTGGTTAGACCACATCTGGAATGCTGTGTCCAATTCTGGGCACAACAATTTAAGGAAGATACTGACAAATTGGAATGTGCCCAGAAGAGGGTGACTAAAATGATCAAGGGTCTGGAGATCAAGCCCCATGCGGAGTGACTTAAAGAGCTAGGCATGTTTAGCCTGCAGAAGAGAAGGTTTGAGAGGAGACATGGTGAGGGCCATGTATCAACATGTGAGGGGAAGTCATAGGGGGGAGGGAGCAAGCTTGTTTTCTGCTGCCCTGGAGACCAGGACACAGAATAATGGCTTCTACAAGAAAGGAGATTCCATCTGAACATTAGGAAGAACTTCCTAACTTTGAGAGAGGGAGCTGTTCAGCAGTGGAATTCACTCTCTGCCCCAGAGTGTGGTGAAGGCTTCTTCTTTGGAGGCTGGATGGCTATCTGTTGAGGATGCTTCTTGGCAGAATGGGGTTAGACTGGATGGCCTATGATTATCAGCGAGAGTATGCTACTGAATGTTATGTGCTAGGGAGAAACCATGGGGGGAGAGCTTTTGGAATTGATGGGTGTTCTTGTTTAATCAGCAATATTATTATTGTGCATTATTCCAATCAATCATTTTGAAGGTCTGCCAGGAGGGTATCATTGACATATAACAGTGGTTCCCAACCTTTGGGCTTCCAGGTGTTTTGGATTTTGGCTCCCACAGTTCCTAATAGCTGGCAAACTGGCTGGGGTTTCTGGGAGGTGAAGTCCAAAACACCTGAAGGCCCAAAGGTTGGGAACCACTGGCATATAATGAAGTAAAGTAGTGTGATTTGGGGGGAGAGAGGAGCAACATCAAATAAAATGGGAAGAACTGATAGGATGTAAAATTGAATAAATTGAGCTCTCCGCTTACCTATCTTAACAGTTTCCATTGTTTCCTTGTCTTGTTTTTCTCTCTGTTTAGCCTTACTCATCTGGATTCAATAACAAAGATACACAATGGCTCAGGTAAGGGTTTCCAAATCAAGAGCACCAACATATATCTTGGTTGTTTACACATTTGTAAAGTAAGTAGCTTCTTGGGTCTTGATAATCAGTAAATGGTTGTTATTCCACACCAATGGTTTGTACAAATAGGTGGGTTTATTTAAACATGAACAGGTTTTGTGGAGAGGTGGTACTGCATATAGTAAAGTCAAGGGCAGATTTGGGAGCCAAAGGTATGGATTTTTATATGACCTGGGGATAAGTTAGGGTCATTCTCTGTCAGGAAAGAGCTAGTACTGCCCCAAGGCCAGCCCTCGCTGCCACCATTTCCTCACACAGGCCTTCAAAAGGGCCAAAAGCAGCACAACATCAAAGTGGATTGGTGTTGTTTGGTGTGGTTGTCTCTTTCATTAGTCCTTCCAGTGCCATTTACCCAGGATTGGGTGGTCTTACAGAAGAAACACGAGGATTTGGAAAAACGGTTACGTAGTTCAGTATTGATTTGTGATTATGGAAGTTTGCGGGATACTTCATGGTTTGACAGCATCGTCTCCTGGCACCCTAAAGCAACCTTTGGGGGATTTTCTTCCTTGCCTTTCTTATCACTACTCTGTGCTAAATTGGCTTGGGTTTGATCACTCTTGGAGCTGAAAAAGTGAATGCTAAGACTCACTTTGCTGGCATGCCAACCTGCAGATAGGGAGGGCTTATCTCGAGTAATGGTTGCGTCTGCCTTCCTTGCCAGTGTTCACAAAGAACCTCTGCAGCCAGATGTCAGCCATCAGTGGCCCACTCCTGCAGTGGCTGGAGGACCGTTTGGAGCAGAACAAACAGAGGATGCTGGAATTGCAGCAGGAGAAAGAGGAGCTTCTCGAGGAGCTGGCTGCCCTGGAGTGAGGGAACGCAGGCTTCGTTTTGCCTGGGAAGACGTTCCTCGGCTTCGTCCTGTCCTCACTTGCTGCTTCTCCTGGGACTCCTTCCATGCTGTCACAAAATCAGAAGGACCCTAGAGCATGGAATATCAGTGAGCAGGGCACTGGAGCAAGATGCAAGTTAATTTTTGTGACGATGGGCAACACAACAGTTCTCGGAGCTAAAGATGTGTGTGTTGGGATAATATAGACTTGCCAGTTCTTGTCCTGATACACCTCTAGGGGCAAATAAATTGCTCCTTATGTTTGAATCAGCCACTTTGGTGGAGCCAGAGAGAGACGTGAGTCCTCTTCTTTCTCAATTGACAAATACTATGTATGTTAATGGCAAACAATTCAGTTGGTGACATTTCACAAAGCAAGACTTATGTCTTTTGTCTGTCTTTATGAATAAAATCAAACTCAAAAGAGTTTTACAACTGTGTGAAGTGTGTTGCTTTCTTAATGCTCTCCTATGCACCCTCACCGCCATCTTAGCAGGATGTTGTTTGAACTGCTTTGGAGATAGTTGCATATAGGAACTATCGATGAAGGAGTCAAACCATGCACATGGGTTACATTTTCTGTACAGCACTTTGTCTGAATGTTTTATTCATAACACCCTGAAAACAATCTGGTCCAACATATCTGACTGGGGATGTTGGGTCTGATGATTATGACAAGAACCTTGATTGATTGATTGATTGATTGATTGATTGATTGATTGATTGATTGATTGATTGCTTCTCCAGACAGGGTGCAACATCGTTTGAAATACCTTCTTTCTCCAAATCTGGAAGGTCTACATAAGATGATAGAAGGCCGGAACAATATGCAGAAATGTCAACAAATCAGCGCAAAACACAAGGCAGGGCAAGGAAGAGCAATGAGCAGAGCGCAACTCAAAGTTCAGTGGTCAAGGATCAAGGGCCATGGTAACTGGTCAAGGGGCTGAGGGTCAGGGACATGGGTCAAAGGCCATGGGTCGAAGGTCAAAGGCAATCTTTGTCCTAAATATGTTATAGTGAGTCCTGATAGATGGACTCACGTGGGATTGGGATGCTGCCTTGGCCTATGACCTCTAAACTTTGATCTATGACTTTGACCATTTGTCCATGGCCTTGACCATTGAACTTTGACCTGCACCCTGTCCTTTGACTTGCCTCGTCCTGCATTACCTTGCTTTGCATTTTGTGTTGATTTGTTGACATTTCTGCATATTGTTCTGGCCTTCTACCCTGCTATGGAAACCTTCCAGATTTGAAGAAAGAAGTGAGGCATGGCATGGCAAGACGAGGCAGGCTAGGCTAGGCTTCTGGTGGGAATATATACCATATTTATTTATTTATTTATTTTCCCATCCACCTTTCTACTTATATAGGGCCCAATGTGGGATTGTAACTCTGCCATCCCTTTTGCCCTATTGCCTCTGACTGTAGACTTATGTCCTATGACCTATAATATATGATCTTTGACTCACCTCGTTGGGAACAGTAGTGGTGCAGAAAGAGCCAAACGTAAGAAGACCCACAATATGTGGATACAATAAGGCAAATGTCCCTTGCTTGGTGAACGCCACATCAGGAAAGTGGCCCTATTCACCTTTGTATTCCCTTTATTTCACAACACCAACTTTAAATCGTTATCCTTTCAAAACAAGGCTTTTTCTAAACAGCTACTGGAAGAAGGTTGCTCTTACTGTATATATTTAAGTAAATCTCTAGATCAGGGGACCCCAAACTAAGGCTCGGGGGCCCTCCAAGTTTATTTACCCAGCCCTCACTCAGGGTCAGCCTAAGTCTGAAACGACTTGAAAGCACACAACAACAATCCAATAGCAGGCCCACACTTCCCACTGAAATACCAATAAGTTTATATTTGTTAAGATTGTTCTTCATTTTAATTATCATATTGTTTTAAAGTGTTTTTTGCACTAAAAATAAGATATGTTCAGTGTGCATAGGAATTCATTCATATATATTTTTTTCAAATTATAATCCGGCCCTTCAACAGTTTGAGGGACTGTGACCTGGCCCTATTTAAAAAGTTTGAGGACCCCTGCTCTAGATCAAAGCTTTCCAAACTGTGTGTGGGAACACATTCGTATGCCGGCTGCAGTGTGTAGGTGTGTTGTGCAAAGAATACCTCTTGAGTCTATGTCCAATAAGCAATAATTCGTATTTTAAATATATATATAAATGAAAGGTTTTCCTGTGTATCCCCATATTATATTATTGCAGTTTACATATGTGTCCGAATCTCTTCCAAGGGGTTGGTTTAACTTTTGGTTTGTTAATAAAACTGAATTACTGTGTCACAAAATGGTGCATGTCTAAAAAGGTGTGTCACCAACATGAAATGTTTGGAAAGGTTTGGTGCAGAGTTAATTTTTTAGTCAAAAAAATTAACTCAAAACCCTAAGGTTGACTTAACCCAAAATCGGTTTAAGTACCGTACCTTAACTCTTATATATAAACGGGACCGTCATCTTTCCTTGCTTTTTGGGGAAAAAAAGCTTCTTCTGGGTCTAAAATAGAGAAGGTCAAAAACTTTAGGAAATTTGGGGGAAAATATTTAAGTTTTTTCCCCCTTTTTTTTCTAGGGGCTTCAGTAGGCAGATTTCTCTCTCTTTGGATGTAGCCTGATAAACCCAACTGGTGTGTTTCCTTGATTTAATGGAATAATTTCTATGCAATCATAATTTTGCATACATTAGAACACAAATTATTCCATCTTGAAACAATGATACACATTTTCAAAAAAATTCTGCAGGGAGGCAGCATTGGAGGTGGGAGAACTTATCAATGGAATAAATACACAATATTTAAAGTCACAAAAAAAATGGGTCCACCTTGTGGTTAAGGTGCAAATGTACACTGAATCTGAACATGTGGAATAACTTCCTGACTGTGAGAGCCGTTCAGCAGTGGAACTCTCTGCCCCGGAGTGTGGTGGAGGCTCCTTCTTTGGAAGCTTTTAAACAGGGGCTGGATGGCCATCTGTCAGGGGTGATTTGAATGTAATATTCCTGCTTCTTGGCAGGGGGTTGGACTGGATGGCCCATGAGGTCTCTCCCAACTCTATTATTCTATTATTCTATGGGAATGTGTCTGCAATGCATAGAAATGGGTTGCTGTGAGTTTTCTGGGCTGTCTGGCCATGTTCCAGAAGCATTCTCTCCTGACGTTTCACCCACATCTATGGCAGGCATTCTCCGAGGTTGTAAGGTCTGTTGGAAACTAGGCAAGTGAGCTTTATATATCTGTGGAATCTCCAGGGTGGGAGAAAGAACTCAACTGCCTCAGGCAAAGTGGCCTCAAACAGACAAGAGTTCTTTCTCCCACACTGGACATGTTTTGTTATATAGATGCAAAATAGTAATAGTAATAATAATAATAATAATAATAATAATAATAATAATAATACTTTTATTTCTTAACCACCTCACCTCTTCACTCCTCATAGCCCCAGAAAAAGTCCTAAAAATCAAGACGCCAAGAAAAAACAATGTTGTTGTTGTTGAGCTGTCTAATGCATGCCATAGTCACTTATTATTGAGGTGGAGTCAGGACCACATCCTGGAAGCCCCAGCATACCATTAGGGAAAATGAGGCAACCATCTCCGGTGCCAGAGGCTTATCCTGTCTCGGCCACCAAATAGTTGTGACATCCCTTTTCCCAAGTTGGTCCCAAAACTCCCAACTCCTAGGAATCCTGCTGGGTCTCATCGTGTCTCCATTGCAGGTTTGGGGTTGTGTTCATGTGTAGGTTCTTTCGTTTTGGATAACATAGGGAAGGGTAAACACCCTTATGGGGTTTCCTGTGCTGCCTGTGCAGTTCAGATTTCCTCTCACTTTCTGTCCCTGCAAGAATTGGATTTTGAAAAAAATTGCCTGTTGTGGAAACAAGGATTGGGGAGACCCCCTTTCCCCAGGATAATAACTCTTTCAAGAGTGAGTTTCCCTTCCTAAGGATGCATTTTTCTCATTTCCTGTCGTCTCAGCCCCGTTCTGAAGTCAGATGTTTGTAATGCGGGGACTATCTGTACATTGAATTTTAAACAATACTAATAATCTCTACTACAGACTTCACTAATATCCTAGGTAGTTCCTTTCTGTTCCTTTTCCAAAACTCTTGTCTCTTTAGTGGAAGCCACCAGTGACACAGTGGGTTAAACCGCTGAGTTGCTTAACTTGTTGCCTGAAAGGTTGCAGGTTCGAATCCGGGGAGCAGCGTGAGCTTCTGCTGTCAGCCCCAGCTTCTGCCAACTTAGCAGTTCGGAAACAGGCAAATGTGAATAGATTAATAGGTACCGCTTCAGCGGGAAGGTAACGACGCTCCATGCAGTCATGCCAGTCCCATTACCTTGGAGGTGTCTATGGACAAAGCTGGCTCTTCGGGTTAGAAATGGAGATGAGCACCAACCCCCAGAGTTGGACACGACTGGACTTCATGTCAGGGGAAAACCTTTACCTACCTGTCGCTTTAGCTCCTTTGTTGATGCCCTTCTCAAACACTATTTAATTGACAACAAAAGGTTGTATTAAACAACATACAATTGTTTGAAATTCTGCAAAAGCTGGCGTTAAGACAATAATAATTAGTTAACTCTATTCTCAAAGCAAAATGGCATGTACCAAGTGTGACAATGAAGGATATATATGATGAGCATCCCTGAAGTTTGAAATACACCCAATTTTTTTGCTTCCTCATTGGTCAATGCACACAAACATTGTTACATGCACAACATTATTAAAATATTGTATATAAAATTCAATATACAAGAAAAAAAACATTCCTCTGCCACCAGATATTTATAAATGGATGAATGGCATTATTTTAAGATGGGTATAAACTCTTAATACATTTAAATATTTTAATGTTTAATAGCTTGAATAACATAAATGGCATGATTGCTTTTTTTAATGTGTGTACCTATAATTCGAATGCATTCACATAGTTTTTAATTAATGTTGTTTTATATTTAATGAAGGGAGAGGTGGGGTTTTTAAAAAGTAAGCAAGCAAATAATAAATAATTAATAAGGTATAAATAACACATACATGAATTTTGTGATCCCATCTCCAAGATGGCTCATGCAAATGCCAGTATTCTGAAAGCTGAAATTCAAAACACTTCTGTTGACAAATAAATGCAAAGCTTCTTATTATGGCTAGGTATCTAGTCATTCCAGAGAGGAGGATAGTAATAATCTGGATCTGGAGCTTTTTAAGGAGATGTGAATGAGGAAAATACATTCAATTTTGATCTGGCAACCCTAACTGAGTGCAAACTGCTCAGTTTACCACAATGGAAATAAATTAGTGGTTCCCAACCTTTTTTGGTCAGGGAACACTTCGACCAGGGACCACTCTCCAACATTAGTACTAAAAGGGTTACGAATCAGTTTTTGATCAACTTTAGATTCAG